AATATGAATCGTGGTCGTACAACCTGTTTTGCCCAATAAAGTATTGTTTGTGATTGAGGTTAGAAATGTTTTTGTTTGTGGACAGAGAAGAGTCCACAAACACACACAAACAAAACATTGAAATCGAGATGCATTTGCATCATGCATGCATTCAGGCATAAATTGCCGGCGTGAATGGCAATCGTTCACTTGTTTTCTGAACACAGCAGCTATATGGCCAGGTTAACGAGAGATCAACGACAACAAGCCTTTGGACGTGTACACGCTGGTCAACTTGCTCGAGTCATTGCTAGTGACTTCATTTGCAGCGTACAAACGACAGAGCGTCTTAGACGGCGATACAACGCCACCAACAGCACTGATGACCGTCCATGTAGTGGTCGACTACGTCTAACAACACCTCGCCAGAACCGTCACATCGTCCATAAACACCTGCAAGGCCGATTTGCAAGGGCCACAGAAACAACTCGTGTGACCATAGGAAACCACCAGCGACCAGTCAGTGACCGAACCATTCGGCGACGTGTCCTGCAAGCCAGGAACTTGTTTTGTCGACGTTCTGCCAGGGGACCCATATTCACCTAACGTCACCGCCCGGAACGTCTCCAGTGGGCACAACAGCGGCAAAACTTGCGTAGGAGACAATGTAGAGGGGTTACCGTCTGTGATGAAAGTCGGTACTGCTTTTCAGTGGCTGATGGGAGAGCTAGGATCTGGCGTCGCACAAGGGAACGTTACAGTACATTGTATACATATTCATATCCTCGTTGACACACTGACCTTGTTGTTAATCAGTGGCCATTCGGCATCACTAGGGTCAGTTGGTAAGCTTGTTTTAAAGCCGCTTTGACCACAGTATCCTTGCTATAGCCTAGCTTGCGTATCCGTGGGTATAGTGGTGATCGGAGACACTTTCCCTTTCATGCTCAAGAAAACGGGTTCCGAGACCAAAGAGAAAGTGTAATCCTAAATATAACATAATTTTATAATACATTTGACTACTTCCTAAAAAAGGTGTATATTTACCGCGTCTCATACGTTACATTCATACAACGGGGTGTCTAAATCTCATTACAGCATGAGTGAGTGAGTGATGAACTCAGGGCATCGTTACCACGATAAGCGTATCATGTCTATGCACAGAGTACTTCGTCGCGGTGGGGTAGCCTAGTGGTTAAAGCGTTTCTGGTGTCCCCACGCCGAAGACCCTGGAATATTGCTTCGAATCCCAGTCAGTCATGGTCAGTATAATGTGTGAAGCCTTGTACCAACTGAACTGGTGTCCCCCAGCCGTACAGATGTTGCTGGAATATTGCTTGTAAAACTGCGTCGTAAAACTAAATTCAGTCAGTCAGTCAGTCGTCGCTGTAGACCACCTTGTACCAACTGAACATACAGGTGAAGTATGCCTACTAGGTGTCGGACATGTCGGTATAGCCTGAATACTATAGTGTCGAGACGGGGTTTGAGCATACGATGCAAATAATACCGCCCGGGTAGTTGTCGCTACGGCCGCGACCTTCCTGAACGGACATCCCGACATGGAAATCCGACATCTGAGTTACACGGTAAATGTTGAACGGGTAACAAAGTACGAAGCAAACATATACACGATAAGAGAACATTTCAGTAACACACTGAACACTAGATAGTAACTAACAGGTGCACACCAGAACCAGACATGTGTTAAGTACCACTACGCCAAATTCTTACACACACACCACTTGTAAAACCGGTAACTTACTGTGCAGTTTAACACGCAACGACACTGATGTCCTTAAAAAGTACACTTTGATTTGATGGTTTCTATGATACTGGCTGCATTCACTTAACATTTTATCATCAATATCAATAACGTGGAAAGGTAGATCCCGAAAGTCCGAGGCCTTGTGATCAGATAGCGGATAACGTAATTCTTCAATCGCTAAAAATGAAAATGGTGTAATTCGTTCAATACATTTTTTATGAGTATACCGCTTTCTTTCCCCATAGAACGGACTTAATTTTGTTACTTCAACATCGATGTTCAACCTGTATGTTTGGCATGAAATTGTCATGGTTTTCATAGAAGATGTAGCGCACATATCCAGGCAACTAGTACATGCTCAAGGCGTTGGTATTTTTTCCCTCGATCATAGGATGTCAATTATCAATCTCAACTCCCCGGGGATCATACAACTCTTGCAGCCACATCCAAATTGTGTTGGAGAAGAATACAGCTATTGAAGCTGAAACCCTGACAATGTATATACCTGAGAAACCGAAAAAAAACCCATACAGAATCTGGGCTAAATGTCTTCCATATAACATAACCATCAATGACGCTATGGCGTCAGAATGACATCAGTATCATGGAGGAAATTCCGTAAGATATATTGAAGTTCGGAATTGAGCAAAATGAAGGAGGGGTGTTGCTACACTTTCTTCAGATGAATAAATGCATAGACATGATATAAAGTAGCTGAACATGTAAATAATACACAGTACACAATATCACACAAAAAAACTCACCTGGCTTGGACACCACCTACCAAAAAATGTGTCGGTTATATATACAGCCGGGTGAGGAGGTAGTGTGTTATGTACACAAAGGAAGGCCCGTCCGGCCTGTCTCACTGTCACGGTGACGTGAAATGTACAATGACACGTAGCTTCATACGTGAAATCGACAAAGCGATGAAGCTGGAGTAGGGGTACACTGCCAGTGGATGTTGACATTTTGTATTATGAAATACACACACTGAAAGTATATACATGTTGTTGACAACAGTTAGGTTTTTTTACAGAACCACACACAGCCTCTTACAGTTCTTTAACAACAGAAAGCATTCCAACAAAGTATGTTTTCCCATCTGTTTTTCGTGTGTACTAACCTATGCACAAAAGGTATATTGTTCACAGCTTTCGGTATAGGGAACCAGAGCCGTACCTATTTACACTTCTCAGATCGATTTCTAGTACTAGTAAAGATCGATTTTTTAGTGGAAGCCGCAGTGGCTGGGTGGATTATATCGCTGACTAGACGCCTAATCCTGACAGCGCAGGTTCGAATCCAGGATGGGACTCAGTCCCCAAATATTCCACAATATGTGCTTTACTGGGAAAGTGTAACCCTAAATATAGCATATGATACATTTGACTACTTTCTAAAAGGAATTGTGTATTTACCTCGTTTCATACATTACATCCACACGACGGGGTGTCTAAATGAGCGAGTTGGTATGATTTTACGCCGCTTTTAACAATATTCCAGCAATATCACGGCGGAGACACCAGAAATGCGCCTTACACATTGTACCCATGGGGAATCGAACCCAGGTCTTTGGCGTGACTAGCGAACGCTTTAACCACTAGGCTACAACACCAACACACACACACAACACACACGCCAGCATGAATCCACCAACAACGTTGAAGGAGCTTATTGACGAGCCAGTCCACGTGGATGTTGAGCTGCGGTTCTATCTAAAACTGTTGTGCTTCATCTTGGATATTACATCACAGACAATACACAGGCGAAGTGTACCGACAAGAAACTCCCCGCCCCATACAACTCGTAGAGATAGCCATGTTAAAGGATGATAAACGTTAAATGTTGCTTTATTTTACGGGTGCTTCCAGTTAAATTGATTTTTCACTCATAAATCTCCTTCTTTATTACTACCAGCATCTCTTTTGTTCCCTCCGTGAGCAAAAAAAAGACTTTAAATGAATGAGAGTAGTTAAAAAACAGTAAACATAAAATATGTATGTCACAGTGGTCTATAAGCTATCTACCTTGGACCCGGCAAACCAGTGGTTGAAAGTATGAGCATTGGTTTAATTCACCTGTTACTAAGTACCGCCTCCGTGGTGTAGTGGTTAGAGCGTCGGCCCGGAGCGCGGAAGGTCGCGAGTTCGATCCCCGACCTCGTCATACCAAAAGACGTTAAAATGTGGTACTTGTTGGTTCCTGCCTGGCGCTCGGCATTAATGGGTACAACAAGGACTGGTTGGCTCGGAGTCAGTATAATGTGTCTGAGTGGGGTATTCATGCTTCACTGCGGCATGGTATCTCAGTGGGCTAGCACTATAAAACCAGCCTAAGGCTCGGCTAGTACAAGCAGCCGCACATACACATACACACGCATGCACGTCGTCATATGAGCGAAATATTCTCAAGCACGACGTTAAACCCAATTTTACCTCACCTCACCTGTTACTAAGACACACAAATTGCCACAGTGTCTACCGCCTGGTTCATTCAGATGACAGCTGCTACATACAGTCTGGAAGCTGCTTTCAACCATTAATCCCATCATGGCTGATGTTTTGCTGTAATTCTAGGTTTGTTAGCAGCATAAGGAGCTCCTGGTTTTCATCAAAGTGGCAAATGTCTCAGACCTTCACACATTGTTGCTTGTGATATCAACAAGCATTAAGCAATCACCCAAAATAAGCTTTTGTTTCATGATGGTCAAAGATGGGACATCAAAAATAAGTGTGAGTGAGTGAGTTTAGTTTTATGCTGCTTTAAAAATATTCAAGCAATATCACAGCAGGGAACACCAGAAATGGGTTTCACACATTTTACCCCAATCAAACCTGGGTCGTCGGTGTGACAGCGAATACTTTAACCACTAGGGTATCCGGCGCCCCACACCAGATATACATAATTCCCAAATGCTTTGTTGTTGAGCATAAAGTTGGTGGGAATAATCACAATTTGACAAGGCAGTCTAAAAGTTCCCACTTAATTCATGACACTCTGGAAAACATAATCCACTCAGTCTGTAGCTCAATAAACAATTTGATGCTCGAGACTGTCCCCATCACGTATGATCTGCTTCAACCCACGGCGTAGACCATTTTGTACTGCTTTGATCATCACGTTGGCCTATATGCTTAGGATGTTGAATGTTGTACCCAAACGTTCTGGAGGTGAACACTGGATAAGATTGAACTTGCAAAAGAATCTTTTTAAAAGCATAACCTCTGTTATATTTATCACAAGACATTTGTTACTGTACAAATTTTATTCATCACTAGAACTACTACTAGATGAGTCACTAGACATTAGCTCCACTTCTTCATTCTCCTTGTTATGTCCCTTGAGGGGGTCAGAGGGGGGCTGGGGGGTGCTTGATGGGAGGGATACAGGTAGGTCTTGTGGCGGTTGCCATGACAACCCAGCACTGGCACCAACTGTTGTTGGTGTGCCTTGATCTGGAAGAGAAGAAAATCTTGAAGTTGTAAAATGGTGGCCACAAAGTTATGATCAAAGGTGAGTTGAAATAGGATTTAGGATTAAGCTGTCCTGGCCTAGATGACACCCAGTATACCCACCTTGACTAAGCTGTCCTGGCCTAGATGACACCCAGTATAACCCACCTTGACTAAGCTGTCCTGGCCTAGATGACACCAAGTATAACCCACCTTGACTAAGCTGTCCTGGCCTAGATGACACCCAGTATAACCCACCTTGACTAAGCTGTCCTGGCCTAGATGACACCCAGTATACCCACCTTGACTAAGCTGTCCTGGCCTAGATGACACCCAGTATAAGCTGTCCACCTTGACTAAGCTGTCCTGGCCTAGATGACACCCAGTATAACCCACCTTGACTAAGCTGTCCTGGCCTAGATGACACCCAGTATAACCAACCTTGACTAAGCTGCCCTGGCCTAGATGACACCAAGTATTGTCCTACCTTGACTAAGTTACCCTGGCCTAGATGACACCCAGTATACCCACCTTGACTAAGCTGTCCTGGCCCAGATGACACCAAGTATACCCACCTTGACTAAGCTGTCCTGGCCTAGATGACACCCAGTATACCCACCTTGACTAAGCTGTCCTGGCCTAGATGACACCCAGTATACCCACCTTGACTAAGCTGTCCTGGCCTACATGACACCCAGTATAACACACCTTGACTAAGCTGTCCTCGCCTAGACGACAACAAGTATAACCAACCTTGACTAAGCTGTCCTGGCCTAGATGACACCAAATATAACCCACCTTGACTAAGCGGTCCGGGCCTAGATGTTGCCTAGTTTAACCTAACTTGACTAAGCTGATCTGGCATAGATGACACCAAGTATAACCCACCTTGACTAAGCTGCCCTGGCCTAGATGACATCCAGTATAACCCACCTTGACTAAGCTGTCCTGGCTAGATGACACCAAGTATAACCCACCTTGACTAAGCTGTCCTGGCCTAGATGACACCAAGTATAACCCACCTTGACTAAGCTGTCCTGGCCTAGATGACACCCAGTATAACCCACCTTGACTAAGCTGTCCCTGGTGACTAGATGACACTGTCCTGGCTTAGTATAACCCACCTTGACTAAGCTGTCCTGGCCTAGATGACACCAAGTATAACCCACCTTGACTAAGCTGTCCTGGCCTAGATGACACCCAGTATAACCCACCTTGACTAAGCTGTCCTGGCCTAGATGACACCCAGTATAACCCACCTTGACTAAGCTGCCCTGGCCTAGATGACACCAAGTATAACCCACCTTGACTAAGCTGTCCTGGCCTAGATGACCCACCTTGACTAAGCTGTCCTGGCCTAGATGACACCCAGTATAACCCACCTTGACTAAGCTGTCCTGGCCTAGATGACACCAAGTATAACCCACCTTGACTAAGCTGTCCTGGCCTAGATGACACCAAGTATAACCCACCTTGACTAAGCTGTCCTGGATGACCTAGATGACAAGCTGTCCTGTATATGACCCACCTTTGACTAAGCTGTCCTGGCCTAGATGACACCCAGTATAACCCACCTTGACTAAGCTGTCCTGGCCTAGATGACACCCAGTATACCCACCTTGACTAAGCTGTCCTGGCCTAGATGACACCCAGTATACCCACCTTGACTAAGCTGTCCTGGCCTAGATGACACCAAGTATAACCCACCTTGACTAAGCTGTCCTGGCCTAGATGACACCAAGTATAACCCACCTTGACTAAGCTGTCCTGGCCTAGATGACACCCAGTATAACCCACCTTGACTAAGCTGTCCTGGCCTAGATGACACCAAGTATACCCACCTTGACTAAGCTGTCCTGGCCTAGATGACACCCAGTATACCCACCTTGACTAAGCTGTCCTGGCCTAGATGACACCAGTATAACCCACCTTGACTAAGCTGTCCTGGCCTAGATGACACCAAGTATAACCCACCTTGACTAAGCTGTCCTGGCCTAGATGACACCCAGTATAACCCACCTTGACTAAGCTGTCCTGGCCTAGATGACACCAAGTATAACCCACCTTGACTAAGCTGTCCTGGCCTAGATGACACCCAGTATAAGATGACACCACCTTGACTAAGCTGTCCTGGCCTAGATGACACCCTGAGTATAACCCACCTTGACTAAGCTGTCCTGGCCTAGATGACACCCAGTATACCCACCTTGACTAAGCTGTCCTGGCCTAGATGACACCCAGTATACCCACCTTGACTAAGCTGTCCTGGCCTAGATGACACCAAGTATAACCCACCTTGACTAAGCTGTCCTGGCCTAGATGACACCAAGTATAACCCACCTTGACTAAGCTGCACTGGCTGGAGGACACCAAGCATAACCCACTTTGACTAAGCTGCCCTGGCCTAGATGACACCCAGTATAACCCACCTTGACTAAGCTGTCCTGGCCTAGATGACACCAAGTATAACCCACCTTGACTAAGCTGTCCTGGCTTAGATGACACCCAGTATACCCACCTTGACTAAGCTGTCCTGGCCTAGATGACACCAAGTATAACCCACCTTGACTAAGCTGCACTGGCCTGGAGGACACCAAGTATAACCCACTTTGACTAAGCTGCCCTGGCCTAGATGACACCCAGTATAACCCACCTTGACTAAGCTGTCCTGGCCTAGATGACACCAAGTATAACCCACTTTGACTAAGCTGCCCTGGCCTAGATGACACCCAGTATAACCCACCTTGACTAAGCTGTCCTGACCTAGATGACACCCTGTATACCCACCTTGACTAAGCTGTCCTGGCCTAGATGACACCCAGTATACCCACCTTGACTAAGCTGTCCTGGCTTAGATGACACCCAGTATACCCACCTTGACTAAGCTGTCCTGGCCCAGATGACACCAAGTATAACCCACCTTGACTAAGCTGTCCTGGCCTAGATGACACCCAGTATACCCACCTTGACTAAGCTGTCCTGGCCCAGATGACACCCAGTATACCCACCTTGACTAAGCTGCCCTGGTCTAGATGACACCCAGTATACCCACCTTGACTAAGCTGTCCTGGCCTAGATGACACCAAGCCCACGTATAACCCACCTTGACTAAGCTGATCTGGCCTAGATGACACCCAGTATACCCACCTTGACTAAGCTGTCCTGGCTTAGATGACACCCAGTATACCCACCTTGACTAAGCTGTCCTGGCCCAGATGACACCCAGTATACCCACCTTGACTAAGCTGCCCTGGTCTAGATGACACCCAGTATACCCACCTTGACTAAGCTGTCCTGGCTTAGATGACACCCAGTATAACCCACCTTGACTAAGCTGATCTGGCCTAGATGACACCCAGTATACCCACCTTGACTAAGCTGCCCTGGTCTAGATGACACCAAGTATAACCCACCTTGACTAAGCTGATCTGGCCGAGATGACACCCAGTATACCCACCTTGACTAAGCTGTCCTGACCTAGATGACACCAGTATAACCCACCTTGACTAAGCTGTCCTGGCCTAGATGACACCCAGTATACCCACCTTGACTAAGCTGTCCTGACCTAGATGACACCCTGTATAACCCACCTTGACTAAGCTGTCCTGGCCTAGATGACACCCAGTATACCCACCTTGACTAAGCTGTCCTGGCTTAGATGACACCCAGTATAACCCACCTTGACTAAGCTGTCCTGGCCTAGATGACACCCAGTATAACCCACCTTGACTAAGCTGTCCTGGCCTAGATGACACCCAGTATACCCACCTTGACTAAGCTGATCTGGCCTAGATGACACCCAGTATACCCACCTTGACTAAGCTGTCCTGACCTAGATGACACCCTGTATAACCCACCTTGACTAAGCTGTCCTGGCCTAGATGACACCCAGTATACCCACCTTGACTAAGCTGTCCTGACCTAGATGACACCCTGTATAACCCACCTTGACTAAGCTGTCCTGGCCTAGATGACACCCAGTATACCCACCTTGACTAAGCTGTCCTGGCTTAGATGACACCCAAGTATAACCCACCTTGACTAAGCTGTCCTGGCCTAGATGACACCCAGTATAACCCACCTTGACTAAGCTGTCCTGGCCTAGATGACACCCAGTATACCCACCTTGACTAAGCTGTCCTGACCTAGATGACACCCTGTATAACCCACCTTGACTAAGCTGTCCTGGCCTAGATGACACCCAGTATACCCACCTTGACTAAGCTGTCCTGGCTTAGATGACACCCAGTATAACCCACCTTGACTAAGCTGTCCTGGCCTAGATGACACCAAGTATACCCCACCTTGACTAAGCTGTCCGGGCCTAGATGACACCAAGTATACCCACCTTGATTATGCTGTCCTGGCCTAGATGACACCCAGTATACCCACCTTGACTAAGCTGATCTGACCGAGATGACACCAAGTACTGTCCCACTTTGACTAAGCTGCCCTGGCCTAGATGACACCAGGTACAACCCACCTTGACTAAGCTGATCTGACCGAGATGACACCAGGTACAACCCACCTTGACTAAGCTGATCTGACCGAGATGACACCAGGTACAACCCACCTTGACTAAGCTGCCCTGGTCTGGATGACACTGAGGCATCTGTATATGTTCCCTGAGCTAACACACCATGTCTCATCTCCAGCTCTGTTGGGTAAGGTCGCCGTGGATCACCTGGAAACATGATCAAAATGAAATCACTCAGTATGAACAGAAACAAGTATAGATTGCTATATTCCATATTACTGGTCTGTCCATGAGATTTGGGACAAACACACCAATGGCTTACAGCAACAATAATCCACTCCTTCGAGACATGGTTAGATACGATATCAACTACATCCACTTAATCTTCATTGACTGACTCTAACTCACAAGGTTATTGATGCAGTTTGAAAAGCCTACAGATCTGTTTGTTGTTCAATGCTTCACCCTTCAACATTCCAGTTATATCACTGGCAAAGTGTAGTTGTGTGATTGAGTTTAGCTTTACGCCACTGTTAGCAATATTCCAGCAATATCAGCAATATCACGGGGAACACCAGAAATGGGCTTCACACATGTGGGGAATTGAACTCGGGTCTTCGGCGTGACGAGTGAACGCTTTAACCAGAGATGCCAACCCTGAATCATGCCTTGCTAAAAGCAATTCCCAAGTCCTGAAGGTGTGAGTTGGGGGTGAGCGTGAGAGGGGTTCTCCCTTATGAAAATCTTTGGAAATATGCAATTTCAGGACATACTTAACCAGATAATACTTAACTCAAAGAACACATTTAAATAGCTATTTACTAAAATTCTTTCAAACATTCTAAATTTATAAACATATTTGTATTTTCTAAAAAATCTGAGTTTTTTATAGACAAATCGGATAGTGGATTTTGTATTTGAAAATTGGAGTGGTTGGCATCTCTGTTTAACCACTAGGCTATCCCACCGCCTCGGCAAAGAGTAGTATGATTGAGTTGGGCCCAGAGTCTTGATCAGACACCCCAGTTATTGACATCTAGAGCACTGACCTCCACAGTTGGGACATAACATGCATCAACGTTTTCAGCAAGCCTGATTACTCCATCCTGTGTGTTGTCCCTTATGACAAGCACATTCCACTGAAGAACAATTTTAACTAGCATCTAAACAAAGGGGGTGAGGTTTGGGGGATGGGACCTGGAGGGCCAGCAATAAGGTAGACAACAGTCACAAATCTCCATCATCCCACTAAAACTCCAACTCAAGCATGCAATAACACAAGAGATTTTGTTACACAGGAAAGATAAAAGCATGACATATTTTCCTGTCATTACCAATTCACCATTCTGACACAAAAATTATAGCTTTAATAAAGTCCCTCTTTTGAACAAAATATTGATGATTATGCTTTTCCCAGCCTGCCTGACGTGGGTACTTAGTTTGAAACTCTAAAGTTTTACGAGATTCAGAGGAAGTGCTGCACACAGGAATCTTAACATGGTATTTCACCATTAGATACAAAGTTACATTTAATACACATTACATTACATAAAACTTAACACAAAATTGTGCATTAAAAACTGTTAAATCTTCTCCCTCTCTTTTTACCCTGTTATCAGTCGAATATAAACACCTCTAACAAGACACTACATTAGTTTTAACTATGTGACTCACTGACTGACTGAGTTTGGTTTTACGCCGCTTTTAGCAATATTCCAGCAATATCACGGCAGGGGACACCAGAAATGGGCTTCACTCATTGTACCCATGTGGGGATTCGAACCGGGTCTTCGGCGTGACGAGCCAACGCTTTAACCACTAGGCTACCCCACCGCCCCTTTAACTATGTGAACATGGATGGGGATGAGTGGGACATATATTGTGCTATCCTACTGCACCATGCACTCAGGGCGGTAGGGTAGCCTAATGGTTAAAGCGTTTGCTCGTAACACTGAAGACCCGGGTTCAATTCCCTACATATGTACAATGGGTGAAGCCCATATCTGGTGTCCCCTGGTGTGATATTGCTGGAATATTGGTAAAAGAGGTGTAAAACTAAACTCACTCACTCATCATGCACTCACCTGGTTGCCATGTGACGGGTGCAGCTACAGCGTTACTGGCACTGATTCTGTGTGCAAACTTGATGAGTTCTTCTGAGGATACAGCCTTCTTGCTGGCCTGGGATATTGTGTTCAGTTTTTGTTTGGCCTGGTACATCGCTGTTTCCTGAAGTATGGTTGAACACAACATTCCAAGTATAAAGAAATGGCTTCATAATATGTAGCTGTACTGAGAATGAAACATACGTCCTCAACACAATCAACTTGGCTGTAGGAGTGTTTGTCCTCAACACAATCAACTTGCTGTATGAGTGTTTGCCCTCACGCAGAAAACCTGCATATTTGTCACACAAATCATCTCATATACTCAGTGAATTTAGAAGTTTGCATCATCTACCTTGTTAGGATGAGAAGGCCACAATAACTCAGTGCACCTAGTGGCTGCAAGAGTTGTATACTCCCCAGGGAGTTGAGATTGATAATGCGATGTGCCGTTGAGATTGACATCCAATGATCGAGGGAAAAAATACCAGCGCCTTGAGCATGCACTAGTGTGTGGATATGTGCGCTATATAAATATCCTATTATAAAAAAAAAATAAATAAATAATAATAAATTGTTGACGCAATGCTGCTGGGCCCTTAGTTCAGATAATCTAAACTTGTAATTTGCTGTTGTTTAAAACTACTGTTTCCCAGTTAAATGCTCAGTGCTGATTAGATACCTGACCTGCCCTACCTTGTTTTTTGTCGTTATTTAACAATCACAGTTGATGTCTTGATGGAAGTTCCAAACTGAAGTTGACTCCCAAAAACATGTCCATGACTCCCTCTCATGACACCAGGGAGTCATGATGACTCCCAGATTTTTATTCCTAGGGCAAACACTGCTGTAGACATTCACCACTTTCCAGAGAAATACTAGCAGTGTTTGAAATTATGCATGGCCCTTGATGTTTGCTCATGAGAGAGTGAGTTTAGTTTTACACCACACTGAGCGATATTCCAACTAATATGGCAGCAGTCTGTAAATGATCGAGTCTGGGCCAGACAATCCAGGGATCAACAGCATGAGCATCAATCTACACAACTGGGAAACAAGGACGTGTCAACCAAGTCAGCGAGCCTTACATGAGTTACTGAAGACCAATTCTAACCTGGATCTTCACAGGCGTTTGCTCATGAAGTACTTGCAACCTACATTTTTAAAATTAGGACTATAACAAGGACACTATGACCAACGATTAACTGCAAACACTGCACTAAAATGGGTAAGATGTTGACAGACTGAAAGGATCAAACTGGTTACTATGGGATTTAATCACTGGATGAGCTGGTCCTGACATGGCTAAGGGGTGTAACTCTACATAGGTAGTTGCTGTTTCCATGAAGAAGGCTGTGTTATGCATTATGGAAAAGAGATAACGTAGACGACATGAAACTAACCAGAATAGTTTCTGCCTCCTTGAGATTCCTCTGTAAATTTTTTATATCTTGGTCCCGACTGTCAACCTCGGACTTCAGAGCATCCAATACTTTCTGTATACCTGCTTGTTCTTCCGCTGAAAAGTTTAAATATATAGTGAGTATTCCAAAGTAAGAGAAACATTTTTCCAAAGAATAAGAAGTTAAACTGCTCATAGCTCATGTTATTACATTACATTTACCCATTGTTTTTGGAACAAAAGTTATTTTCCCCTTGTTTTAATGTCAAACTTTAAGTAGTCAAACTCATTAATGCTTTAAATAGTCCTATAAACCCAGATGGGATAACACATGTGACAATACACTTCCTGCCACCTACAAGTCACCTGCAGCCCCTAGACACTGGGATTATCCAGTCATTCAATGTTCATCACAGGAGCAATGTCGTCCTTGGTATCATTTCCATGGTTGAACCAACCGTATATGTTTGTTTCGTTGAAGTGATAGACAACAAGAGTGAAGTAAGTACTGAGTGTTGCTCTGCAGTAGATAACACCCCCAAAGAGAAGATAATATGTTACAATGAACCTTAAAATGTATGGTACCTGTTTTATGTCATTTATTTCCGGAACATGCCAACAGCGTGTACACATTAATTTTCAGCAGGACTTGGGATTTGTGTAGGCTTTATTTACTGCTGAACAGGTGTGTCTTACAATCAAAGTATGCTGTTCACACTTAAATGCCACATGTGTGAATGTCATGCTTTCAACAAACACACAATCTTCCAAACTGTGTCCCATGTAACTGTAAATGGCCATACATTTCAGGAGATTTCATTAATATAAAATGAAAGATGTGCTATTTAATTTTGAAATAAATTTAGTTTTAATGAACTTTCTATGAAGCAGTGTTCACGAATGCTGTTTCAAAGTAACAGGAGATAGGGTCCTGTACGTTTCAGATGTCTGCCTGACCCATTGAAAATTCACAGGACCCATAGAATAAAATTAAACACACATTTCAGATTTAACATTTCTTATAATTGGCATTGAAATTATTAACAAGCATAATATTTATAAACAGCAAACAAGTGTCACATGTCACATATATCAACTTCAGTCAAAGTCATTGTGAAATATACAGTCGGACACTGGGACCGGCGGGTGGTAGACTTCTATCGGACCGTTGGCGAATCTGCCGGATTTGTCAGAGGGTCAGACGCTATTCTCAAACACTGATGATGCATGGTTACTTTTTTGGTGTAAGCAATTATAATGCTTTAGCTATTAAGCCAGAGACTTTTACCTAGCTGTAGTGTCTTCTTGACATCTTTGTCTTTTTCCATCAGTAGTTCCATCAGAGATACTGAGTCTGGGGCATCTGACCTCTGCTGCCCTTTAGGTGTGCTCATCAAATCAAACAATTCTCTGAAAAAGGAAAGCATTCAGAACTTTCAAAGACATGTTCCAAACATTCCATAATAACTCCAATCAAATTGTATTTTACTGACAAGGTGTGTTTTGCACTGAACCTTTGACATGACAGTGCTTTATCATTGTTTATCTCCAACAGTTTCCTCTGGTCATTGGAAAACACACTTTAGTTCAAACAATGATTAGAATGCACAATACATACAAAAACTAGAAATAAACAGAAAACATAAAAAATCCTAAAAAATTGAATTACGTTGTTGAAAAACACAACAATCCTATTCAGATATCATGCATGTGTAAACAAACCAAAAGTAAAATATGAAAACATATTCAATATAATATAACATTTAGAGATATTTGCTATTCACTCCTCCAGCGTACAGAGGCTGTTAAAATATAAGGATGGACAAAATAAAGTCACTGTCAACATTGTAAAAATATTTCAATACAGAAAAAGTCTGAAGTCGTGATCGCTGTCAAACAATGAAATCGAAAAACTGAAAACCGAAGAGATTAAATAATTTCAAATGGAAAGGTTCAAGGGGGACATAGAGATGTTGAAATGAAGGAAGAATACGTAGATATAAACTAACGTAATTTACAAATTCGTTTCTCATACTTTGATATAATTTCAATATCTTCTATTAGAGAGAGCAACTTCAATCGAGTACTTGCTGCCGCCATGATTGTTGGGTTGCTGAGACGGCCAATCCATAAACGTGTGACAGCGTATTGTCGGAATGATTAGCCAATGACATAGCCGGTTTTATCTAAATAATTGAAACCAATCTAAATAGGTTTTAAAGATAAAGGAAGGAAAACTCCGACCAATGGAAAACATTTTAAGAAACCATAATAAAGTCACCGCTGAGCACGACTTTTTCCAATTTTACGAAGAAAATGAACAACAAATTTGATGCGTAAGCTTGTTTTGTGATCATTCGCAATTTGCCAGCGTCGAAGTCAGTCGCATTTTAGCACAGGGACGAATATGATGAGTCCAGGCCACGTGTACATACATTTTCGTCAACATACACTCCCTCAAACTCAAATGTCTTGATGAGCTTGTAGATCAGTGAAATCCCACCTAACTGGATTGAACATATGATCACTGAATAATAATATTATTTATTATTTTGCACAACCATTGTCTTTCCTTCTATGGATTGAATCTGGACAGGCTTGACATAAATGTAAAAATGTGTTAATGAAAGATAAAAAATAGATTATAACACGACACCATAAAATGTGGTATGCAAGTGTTCATTTGTATTTTGTAAACATTTCATTTCTAAATATAGGATCGATAACGCTGATGGTATATATTGTGTGAATATGTTTGTGTACCTGGTGTTTTGTTGTTCAAGATTAAAAGTCGCAGATGACAGTGGAGAGGAAGACAACTCGGATTCACCACCTCGACCACCACCGGTACGTATCGGGTATTCCTGTGCTTTAATAGTCTCAAGTTTGGAATGGCATCTGAACTGAAATGGATGGGTTTGAACATGTTGTTTTAATTGTATCTGAACATACTGAAAGACATATCCGAATTCTAAAAATGTCACTGAAAGAAATATTTCCTCAAAGTTATAATTTAGAGGGGATACGGGCAGTCTTACCGTGGTATTAAACAACAGATCACTAAATCTACTGTGCTTCTATTAGACTATGTCCTGCAGGTTTGTTTTGACTGAAGAAGACCTGTTGATCGAGGTTTGTGTTTACAGAAACCAGGTCCTGGTGAACATCCTCTGCAATACAACTACTCATACTGGTTCTCCCGGAGAACGCCTGGCAAACAGACGACAAGTTATGATCAGAATCTCAAGTTGGTGGCATCATTTGCATCTGTGAGTAGTTGACACCATGAACTGTTGGGATTCTGGGCAGGGATATTGGGCCATATTTGACTTGCACCTGCAGAAAGTATTGTGTATTGTTGGGCCAATTGATCATTACGAATTTCTAAGCTGCTGCCATGTTGCTGGAATATTGCTGAGTGTTGTGCTAAAATAGTCCTCTGAAATACTGCAACTGTGAAATGCTACAAAACCATGCTCAGCCAGTGAATTACAACATGCTTGTCATAAGTGATGTTTACTAATAAGGGACCATTCATAATTTATGACTAGGGGGGTGATGATGATTTTTATGAAGAAGCATGTACAATGTGAGTGACCCCCCCCTAAACTTTATGTACAAAGTAAGTGACCCCCCTGCATGTCATGTACAAAATCAATTACCCCCCTCCCTTCCAATATTTTTTTTTCCATAATTTTTTAATAATGTTGTGTACAAAATTGATGACCCTCCTTGTACATGTGTACAAACTTGATGACCCCCTACCTCACCAGAACAAAATGGGTGCCCCCAAATTTTGTTTATAAAAATAATAATAATAAAATAAAAATAAAAAATAAATAAATAAATAAATAAAAAAATAATAAAAATCATCATCATCCCTAGCCATAAATTATGAACGGTCCCTCATCATTTAGTTTGTCACCTCAGGCAGTGGGGTAGCCAAGTGGGTAAAGCATTCACTCATCGCATCAAGATCAGGGTTTGATTCTCCACATGGGTACTGTGTACAAGTCTGTGTGTTGCTGTGTTGCAGGTGGAACAGTTCTGGATGTACTACAGTCATCTAGTCCGACCGGGGGATCTGTCAGGTCACAGTGACTACCATTTATTTAAAGACGGAATCCGGCCAATGTGGGAGGTAACTTAAAAACCAGGGCCCCCTTGCACTAAACAATATTACCAATACGATGACCACAACTCTCAGACTATAATACTGGCTTAAGATGGTTGTAGCGTTAAGATTTTTTTGTGCATGTGGACCTGGGGTATTGTTCAACGAAACAATCTTTCCACTCAGATGATCAGAACTTCCAGCCTGTAACACAGACTTATGATGCAAGGGTTATGCTTTGATTGCTTTGTGGCACAGGCCCACATCCACTGTTATGATGGGCGGTGGGGTAGCCTAGTGGTTAAAGCGTTGGCTCGCTCACGCCGAAGACCTGGGTTCGAATCCCCACATCGGTACAATGTGTGAAGCCCATTCCTGGTGTCCCCCGCTGTGATGTTGCTGGAATATTGCTAAAAGCGGCGTAAAACCAAACTCATGTACATCATGCTTGTCATGAGTCATGACATGTGCTTTTGCCAGATAAATTCAAGTATCACATTGTATCTGGATACATTCAACTCAATATTTTGTTAATATTGACTGAAGTTGCCCTGCAGTTATTATGGTTGTAACTACTCGTGAATGCTAGTAATGTATGGAGATGAAGAAAGTGTTTCTTGCATGTTACAAACCCCTTGCCAATATTTTTACAAATGGTGTTTTGGCATTGAAGGAAATACATTTGAACTAGTTTGAGTTAAACTGATTCACTGAGCTTGTTTACCTGTGCATGAGGTGTACGAGGGATTGGTGGTCAGATTGAGACTTGGTTGACTCCATGTTATAACAATGTTTTGTTTCAAATTTGCAATTGATTGCTGTGGTAAACAACAGACATTGTTGTGGTATATTATAATGCTGTTGACAGTATTGGTGTGTGGGATACTAGGTTCTTACTGTTGCTACTTCAGGACAGTGCCAACAAGTCTGGAGGCAAGTGGATCATCCGTCTGAAGAAAGGCCTGGCATCTCGGTGCTGGGAGAATCTGGCGCTGGCCATGTTGGGGGAACAGTTCATGGTGGGGGAGGAGATCTGTGGCGCCGTCGTCTCCATCAGATACCAGGTAGCTGGGAACCCCTTTAACATTGGAGAGAAAATTGGTCTTTAGTAATTTGTGCTTGCCGTAGGGACGACTAAGGGGATTAGCTGCTCGTACTCTCTGTATGTTTGATGCATGTCCCAATTGAGGGATGTCAATCACTTAATCGTTAGGTCTGCAGAGCTACAGATAACTTTTTGGGTCATTGAGTTATGTACTCGCTTGTGTTCATCTCAATTGAGTATCCTAATTTTCCTTTCAGTAACCAAATACATTGTACTCATCTCACTCAAACTCAATTTGGTATTTTGCCATTTTCCACTAATTTAAAAATATAATAAAGTTTAAATTTGTTTGTTTTTTATTTATATTTGATCTGTAATATGAGAAACGATAAGAAAAACTGCAAGTTGTCAAGTTCATATCCTGAAATAAAACCTCTCAGTATACCTCAGTTATAGTATCTATCCACCGGTACGCATATTAAGATTTGACATTTTTGTGTGTACGCGTGTAAGATCACATTTATTGAGTATTTACAAAAACTCAAGCGTACTTGTACGCAATAGACTTAATAGGAATTGAGTTTTCACATAAATATTTGCGTAATTTACGCAGATACGCAGCTTATCTGTACCTCTGGGTCTGGACCAGATTGTCATATGGCTGGGATGTTGCTGAGTGCAACATTAAAACAAACACAGCACTATGGGAACAGTACAAACACTACACTGTATTGGACCTGCACAGTATTCTGTTTTGTAAGATCATGTATCATACAAGCAATGAAATTTGGCCGAGGATATAACAAATGGCTTGTGTCCATAGTTGGCAGTTTAACCCTTGATTTTCTGACATGTATCCACCTTTGTGCCTGCTGGATTGAATCGTGTTCAGTTATATTGTGTGTTAACTGTGGCTGATAAGTTTGTATAGACTCAGGTACTGAACATGTGGCTCATGCTGTGGATGATCTCTTTGTGACTTTGAAATATTGGACAGAGTTTGACCTTGGTACTGAGGTGGTAATCCCATGAAGACCATTACAGAAAGAATAGTCAGGGTATGTTACACTGAGGGTGATTGAAGCTCAACCTCGCGTTATAATCTTAAGCCTCTGCCACATGGACGCTGCTTTGTTTACATATAATAGCTGCAGAGTTACAGATGTGTAAATACAGGTCACTTCCTATACGTGTTGTGGTATTGTCAGGAGGATATCCTGGCCTTGTGGAACCGGACAGCCTACGACCAAGTGACTACCTCCAGAATCCGAGACACACTGAAGCGGGTCCTCAACCTTCCACCCAACACAATCATGGAGTACAAGACGCACACAGACAGCATCAAGTATGGAAACATTCTCAGCCTGCTTGTGAATAACACACTTATGTTTACAAGATACAGGGGAAAAATATTGTTCAGTGGTTCAATAAAGTTGGAAAGTAGTTTGAAACAGCTACATTCCTTGGGAAATCTTGTGATCATTTTATTAAATATCTTTAAATGTGTTACAACTTACATTTTATGTAGCTTGAGTCAACTGTTATTAGATAAATGCCTATTAAATGTTCTGTATTGTAAACCAATAAAGTATATGCTTAGAAAGTACATAATCAATGATGATGATGATTCCATTCTTTCAGAGATAACTCAAGTTTCCGCAACACCGACGTCTTTATGAGGTGAGATTTCCTTGCTGAATCAGGCCTTTTCAGGGTAGAATTCTGAATTTGTTATTGCTTGCTTGTCAGTGATGCCCCTTTCTACTGTTGGCGTATCTTGGGGAGTGTGCTAGTGGGGCAGGGTTACCCTTAATATTACTGACCGCCTCCATGGTGTAGTGGTTAGAGCGCCCGGAGACCGGAAGGTCGCGGGTTCGATCCCCGACCGCGAAGGTCGCTATGGTTCGATCCCCGACTGCGCCGGCATACCAAAAGACTGCGTTAAAATATGGTACTTGTTGGTCCCTGCCTGGTGCCCGCATTAATCGGGCTACAACAAGGACTGGTCGAGCTCGAGTCAGTATAATGTACTCTGAGTGGGCTATTCATGCTTCACTGCGCAGAATCATGGTATCTCAGTGGGCTAGCACTATAAAACCAGCTTAATCTGGGCTAGTGCAAGCAGTCACACATACACATACACGCATGCATGTCGTCATATGAGCGAAATATTCTCAAGCACGACGTTAAACCCAATTTCACTGGTACTTCCTTGTCAGGTAGATGCCTTATTGCTGCTTGTTTGTTGACTTGAGAGAACTGTAGCAGAATCACTCTTGATTTTGTTTGAGATTGTTCTTCATTAAAGTTTAAAGTCTGTAACGAATTTTGTACTCTTTTGTTTGGTCGTCCATTGTTTAAAGTTCAGGATAACTTTGAACGGTAATGTTTTTGTTTCAGGTTTTAACAAAGGCAAGAAGACGTAAATACATAAAACAGTTGGAAATTCAGGTCCGGGTTATAGATGACTCTAGTCGTTTCTAAATATATTCATTGTGAAGAAAAATCTAAGATTTAGAAGTGTATGGACTGATAAAATGTCTCAACAGTGAATGTGATTGTGCTGGTGAACATCTTTTAAATTTGTAAAAATCCATTTGAACATCTTAAGAGGCTTTCTACTTTTAAATAAATGTGCCATGTGTTGATATCATTTCATGTATTTATTCCAATACATGTAATAGGTTACAAATCATAAAATGTTTGAACAGTTAAGTGTTTTTAGCTATTGAATGCAAGTGCATTGAATTCCATTGATATCTGCATTCTAACTTTCTTTGCTCTGAAAATGTTATGCAACAATGCTGTTTACTATTTGCAGCATGTATAGTGTTTACTAGCCCAGGCCACTTATGTGGCTCTTGCTTCACGGGACGGCAGGGTAGCCGAATGGTTAAAACTTTCTCTTGTCATGCCAAAAGAGCTAGATTCGATTCCTCACATGGGTACAATGTGTGAAGCCCATTTCTGGTGTCCTGCTGTGCTATTGCTAGAATATTGGAAAAGGCGGTATAAAAGCCGTACTCACTCTTGCTCCAAGGATCTTTGATCCTGAGGGTTAGTTGTGTTAGGGTAGGTTGAGCCTCCGCACTCCGAACCACTTTCTCATCAAGCTCTCCTTTTATATCTGTATGGTTAATTTGGAGTAGGGTATGAGTTTGTTATCTCGTTTAACAAATTAATGTAATTTAGAGAAAATTTGTAGTTTTCTATCAAGATTTGAGTTTTGTGGAGAAAAATGGCTACTGTGCATTGTGCTTATCAACTTGTGAATATTTGAGACAGTGCCTGTAGTGCTGAATAGGTTTACTAATTAGTTTAAGTTGGTATATGTTGGCATATGTTGGTATATGTTGGTATATGGTCTCTGCTGTAAACCATTCTTAACACAGGAGTATACTACACAAAAGAAGTTAAGGATCATCATATTTCTTCATACATTAAGTATTACTATGAAAGAATCATGATGTGTTTTGAGTAGTATATGTAACAAAATAATGTCATACCAACCACAACTTGAAAAACTTTGCTTCTCTAAACAGTGAAAGACTTTGGCACAAATGATAGAACAGGTGGTACCCATAGTAATACTATCTGTGGCATAATTCTGATATGAATGCATGATATTCCTAGGTTTTATACAATAGAGTTTGTTTTACAGATCAGAGATGTGAAGATGGCAAGTTTGAGAGTGATAATACTAATAGTTTAGTTTCAGGAAGAACATCCGATGTCATCAATTTTCTTGAAATAAGAATTCATCCTGTTCTCTCACTAACTGTACATGACCTTATATACAAATGAGATGGGGTGAATTCTTATTTGTCAACATTGTTTATATTTTTGAAGAAATGTACAGATGTAATTAAAAAGTATTAAGTCAGTGTTATGTCTGTTATATTTTCAGTGGTTCATTGCTGGTTGAAAAGCCATAACCCAAAAAAGCCAGATGGCAGAGTCATACAACACACGGGGCGGAGGGGTAGCCTAGTGCTTAAAGCATTCGCTTGTCATGCCGATGAGCCACATTGGTACCATGTGTGGAGCCCATTTCTGGTGTCCCCTGCTGTGATGTTGCTGGAATATTGCTAAAAGCGGTGTAAAATATACTCACTCACTCATACAACACACACTATAATTCTGTCGGAGTTATCTCTCGTGTCACACAAACCTATGATCACTGCGATCATGTTGACTCTTCCTGTGAGGCTGTAAGCAATGTTTAAAGATGCTCAAACATTGCATTGTGATCGTGTCAAGAGAAGATGTCGGTATACTGCCACCAAACATTGCATTGTGATCGTGTCAAGAGAAGATGTCGGTAAACTGCCACCAAACATTGCATTGTGATCGTGTCAAGAGAAGATGTCGGTATACTGCCACCAAACATTGCATTGTGATCGTGTCAAGAGAGATGTCGGGTATACTGCCACCAAACATTGCATTGTGATCGTGTCAAGAGAAGATGTCATACTGCCACCAAACATTGCATTGTGATGTCGAGAATGTGGGTATGCCACCAAACATTGCATTGTGATCGTGTCAAGAGAAGATGTCGGTATACTGCCACCAAACATTGCATTGTGATGCGTGTCAAGAGAAGATGTCGGGTATACTGCCACCAAACATTGCATTGTGATGGTGTCAAGAGAAGATGTCGGTATACTGCCACCAAACATTGCATTGTGATCGTGTCAAGAGAAGATGTCGGTATACTGCCACCAAACATTGCATTGTGATGGTGTCAAGAGAAGATGTCGGTATACTGCCACCAAACATTGCATTGTGATGGTGTCAAGAGAAGATGTCGGTATACTGCCACCAAACATTGCATTGTGATCGTGTCAAGAGAAGATGTCGGTATACTGCCACCAAACATTGCATTGTGATCGTGTCAAGAGAAGATGTCGGTATACTGCCACCAAACATTGCATTGTGATCGTGTCAAGAGAAGATGTCGGTATACTGCCACCAAACATTGCATTGTGATCGTGTCAAGAGAAGATGTCGGTATACTGCCACCAAACATTGCATTGTGATCGTGTCAAGAGAAGATGTCGGTATACTGCCACCAAACCGCAGACCTAATCAGGGTTTTACCTTGACTTACAAAAGTGGAGTCCTTGCTGACAAGGTGAAGGTCGTATCAAGTACTGAAATGGTGTAGTGTACGTTCAGATAATTACTGCAGAGCCTGAAATGGTGTAGTGTACGTTCAGATAATTACTGCAGAGCCTGGACTGACTGACTGAGTTTGGTTTACGCCGCTTTTAGCAATATTCCAGCAACATCACGGTGGGGGACACCAGGCAGAGCCTGGAATGGTGTTGTGTACGTTCAGATAATTACTGCAGAGCCTGGAATGGTGTAGTGTCTGTTCAGATAATTACTGCAGAGCCTGTATATCGATGGTCGTGGACAGTGGTCATGACTGATGGGTGAAATAACAGACATAGATAACTACTCCTGATGCATGGGGGGAATTGTTGTGCATCTCTTCGGACACAGTATTTTTGGGTTTCTGCGTCCATTCTCCACATAAGTGTGTACTGGACGCACATTTGTGTAAAACCCTGCTATGATCTGATGTCCAGGCCCAGCGACTTTGTGTTGTCATGATTTGGGTTATCGATATAGATCAGATTGCTGTTACCTAAATATTGTTCAACTACTAGAGGGGCGGTGGGGTAGCCTAGTGGTTAAAGCGTTCGCTCGTCACGCCGAAGACCCGAGTTCGATTCCCCACATGGGTACAATGTGTGAAGCCCATTTCTGGTGTCCCCGCCCGTGATATTGCTGGAATATTGCTAAAAGCGGCGTAAAACTAAAAACTCACTCACTCACCAGAGAGGTAACGAAGCAAAATGAAATCACAAATTTTCACGCCACTCAAAAGTGGTGACATTTATGGATCACTGACAAAAAGTGTTCTGAACATAACTGGGACGTGGTTTGTGAGTTGTGTGTGTAAATTAACTTCCATCAAAACAGTCTTTGATGACACAATTTATCTTTAATAATTCTTGCCAGGCCAAGTCATAATATACCCATAGGAATTGTGACGTGATAACTTGTCACTGGTTTGCCAGGCTACAGTAATATACCTTACACATTGCAGAGGGGTGGTGGAGCAGTTAGTTTTAAAGCATTTGCTTGTCCCACAAAAAGGCTGAGGTTCAGTTGCCCACATTTGCACAAAGTGTGAAGTCCATTTTTGGTGTCCCCACTCGCCCTCCCTGATACTGCATAGACAACCAGCATGTAACCAGAAATTCCATTCCCTGGTTTTCCAGTACACAGGTTGTGTAGACAAAGTAGGAATAATGCGGATTGCCTGATACTTCATGCCATACTTGCATTAAAGGGGTGGTGGGGTAGCCTAGTGGTCAAAGCATTTGCTATGCTTAATCCCTGTGTTTGATTCCCTGCTGTGACTTTGTGAAACTAAACGATCATAAAACATTCACACGATATATTTGGATTACAATTTTTCCGTAAGGTACAGATTCTAGTGCTCTTGTTGGCCTGAGTCCCATCCGGGATTTGAACCCTCACCTTCCAAGTCACGTGGCTGAGTGAGCGTGCTGGCAATTAGGTTCCATCATAAAAACATTTACAAATTGAAATTATTAAATGATCTTCAAACACCTGCACGTCTTTCCCAATAAAAGCAGCAACGGAATGTAATTCATCAATGCCAAATTGGCTATTTAATGAGACAACAAAACACGTCTTGACATGACAAAGTTTAATGTACAGTTCAGCCCGTACATAATGTTAACGTAGCCTCTGTGACCACTTTGTGCAATGTAAAACTCATTCATGTTGGAGTATACACCTATCTAGATGCTAGCAAATACTTGTACATGTTCTCAAATAAACCTGTAGCACCAATAAAATACAAAGCATATAAAATGAAAGGCCTCGGTGATGTATAGTGGCTGACTGCAAGCAAACAGAGGGGGGCCTGTCCACACAGACATTAGGCAAGCTTCTACATTGGAGGCAAACTGGAAACAGCATTTCAATGGCACGGCAATCTTAACTTCAAGGTGACACCATGTTTGTCTCTTTGCATTTAAGATAATCAGTTACTTGTGATTTTATTTTACTTCAACTTGAATAAAATCTTAATTCATTTTTATATTTTTTTAATTAAAAAATTCTTTGGATATATATCTGAAAAAGGTCTAGTACATCTATGATTCAAAGTGATAACATCACAAACATACATGGTTACAAGTTCCACGAGATTAATTCTGACAACATTGATCACAACCAAAATCTGGTATTTACAAATGACATTTCCAAAATGTTACATTGGTTCTTTGATGATGTAACTTGGTCCATTGAAGATGCCAGAACTGAAACAAAACAGTGTGGAGCGGATGAAGCCAGTTTACTAGCGCTAATGGCAAACAGTCTTCAGAATTAACATGGATTTGTAAGTATTTGCAGTCTTGACCCACACTATAATATGGGATGTCCACACTAATCTGAGACGTTAAGAAATATCAGTATTGAAAAGGGGTCTAATTGTAGTAATTTCAAAAATTCACTTTATTTCCTAAAATGTTCGGGATTTTTCTTTCGGAAAAGAAAAATGCTTCATAAATTGCAAAGCCTTGACATGCTAAATCTGTGATCATTTACAGTGTTGTATTAAAACAGTTTCTGGACTGAAATTCTTTCTCCATTTCCCCTGACGGGTGGGATCAAGGAGTATTATGACATGTGGAGGGTTTTCGTGTGTGAAGAATATGTCATATATTATCACATTATTGTTACAGGAGAATCAGGAACTTTGATGACAACTGGTGGCACCTCTGAATTGGCCTACTCCACAGCCAAATGAGAGCTGGTCTTTTGAGACATGGCCTAAAAAATCCAGAGGTAGAAAATACATTTAAACTTGGTGCTGCAGGGAAGAACACACACTTCTAAAACATTTTGTCAAGTTTGTAATTTACATACGTAATGACTGTTAACCTACATATAACTCATTACCGTAACGCAATCCATTATTGATTGTGAAGTTTGTTTACCAGCTGGTATAAGATGAGAATACATACCTACACAGTTAGTGATTAGTAATCTTAACATTCTCAAAGTGCAGGAATATGAACTAACCATGTTACAATGGTCTGAGTGCTGTTACCCTAAAGACTTATTTCAGTGACAACCAAATAACACTGAACGTGGGGCTACCAAGGCCTGCCTTGATAACAAGACAGTGAAACAGGATGCCACAGGCGCCATGAAAAGAGGCTGATGTCATGACTTGGCTATGATCATAAAATGAAAGATGGCAATTTATACATAATGGTGTAAAAGAACAACAATTTGATTACATTTAGTGATAGGCATTAACAGGATTAGCACACAAAGCTACTGGTAGCACAAGCGGTTTAGAACAAAACAATCATGTAGACAGTTGTCTTGAAAATACAATCTGTTTTTCACTTTGATTGGGTCTCAAATTTTATTTCCCAAACACAGACATACAAAATGCTGAGATGCAATACCATTTAATACAGCTTTGTGTTTTCCATTCTAATAATCTGGAATAGGAAGGACCAGACTTAATATTTATGTAAACATTCTGAGTCGAGTATGTCAACATGATGCAAAACAGCCATGCTGTAGATTCAGTGATTAAACCGCACCTAAATCTGCTTCATTGAGTGGTAGTACAGAGGTCAATTCATCTGTTGCATTGATATTTTTAATATAAATACCAAGAAGTTCAGGCAAAATAAATGAAAATATAAGGTTAAATTGAATTTTATTTTCATAACATCACGAAACAAAAAATTAAAAAACTTTTTTATTACAAAAAATCCCAAACATACTTTTCCAATTTTTGTTTAGATTTGACAATAAATGAGATAAATTAGTCTGCCCATAAATAGCATGAAACTGTTCCATCTGTTAACAATTGTTATAACAATAGCATCTTCCTGGTTTGACATTTGTAAACTGACCCTCAATCTGCTTCAAATGCAACATGTCTCTCAACCTAAACAGCATCTAGATGTTCACATAAACACGATTTAGCTTTCAATGAAAGAACCTACTGCAAAGATGGGATTACATAGTACAATATCAATTTCACAACACTGACTAAATGCATAGAATATGTTCAGATAGCATTATAAGCCCTAGCATTCCCTTTTAATAAAGGACCCTAGCTCTTTCAGCAGCATATTTATCTGAAATAACCTGTTTTCTCAGAAGTAGTGCCGAGAAAAATACTACTATCCCAACAGCTTCCGTTCATAAAACTTTGTTCTGTTGAATCGTGCAGGCAATTCCGACAAAGCTTCATGCTCATCATACTATTCTGTAGTGAGACAATATTCCTATGACTTGGTTGACTTAGGTATGATAAACATGTCTTCAGAGTGTTGAAGTAAACAGTTTGTTTATTACATGGTGCGATCATTAATAGAGGAAAAACGACATCACACTCCTGAATGAACCCCCAGTTGATCTCTACCACACAAATAAGTTGAGGGTCATATATCTGGCTGTGTGCTGCCAAACCCAGCATATTCCAGCTATGTCTTGACAACCGACCAAACTCAGACCAGACAAACCAGTGGTGGATAGAATGAGCTCAGAACTGTTGCCAGGATACAGTGACCCCAAACAGTGGTGGATACCATCAGCATGGATAATCGAGACCAGGATATGATGACCAAACCAGTGATGAATGAGCGCAATGATCTACACTGCCGGGATTCAGTTACCACAATGAGCCAGATCACCATACGGAATCATGTCTTCTGGTAAACAATCACAAACATCCTTAGCACTGGCCACCCAATACACATTCTATTGCCGAAAGGACACACAGGTCTGACCAATCTAACCAGGTAGAGACTACTTTCTAGTGTGTTTAGCTGAACATGTAAAGCTACTGTAGACAATGTCTGTAATGAGCTCACTGACTCTACACTACGGGTTGAATATTAGGAGATTTGTACAATGACTCTAAACAAAAATACGCTCACTCATCCATACAGACTGCCACAGAAAATGGCCGACAAGCATACATCAGTCATTCACACATTGCTTCTGAATAAATCCTCTCATTAACAATTTCCGCTGTTTCACAGTTGTTGTTTCATCCTGTCGTGTTTTGATCTACTAGTAATTTGAAAAAGAGATGACTAGCACTCCAATGTGAATCTTCCCATGTCATCTCAAAATCATCTACTGCCTGTTGTGGTTGCTATGGATACTGTCATCAAAAATGTGGTTTCCAGGAGTATTGATTTCAAGACAGAGATTAATTATCAACACAGTTGGTTTCAGTGGATACTGATTTCAAGACAGAGGGTTGTTATGGATACTGATACTTGTTACAATGGAAGCCGATGTCAAGGGTGTTGGTTGCCATGGATACTGATCCCAAAATAGCATGGATATTTGTTGCAACCAGTACCAGAGAGTAACTTTCTTTCCCCTGAACACTGATATGAGATGAGGCATGTTTCAGCAAGCCGATGTCTGCCATGAGGCCTTTCTTAATGACAGAATTCTTTGGTATGGTTTCCTCAGCAGAATCAAATGAATTTCTTGAGCATCAAGCAGATAAAAAAGAAAAATATCATGCAGAAATTGATTTGTAAACTTGAGAAACGAACTTATGGGATCAACTCTTTTTTAAGAGCCGAACACCTTCTGAAAAAGCATCAGTATTTCTCAAAAGCTCACCTCATATATTCCAAAAAATCGCACCTAACATAAAAAATAATTATCAGATTTCAATTCCTGAAGCACTTGTTCACAAGCCATTCATGCATTCATTCTGCCACAGAATAATAGCCTGTTTACAGCACATTCCGTCAGTCACAACTGTCCGATTTCATCCCAGATCTAGCCAGTCCTTTGAGCAATCACATGATCTACACATGATCATCACTTAAAACACAGCCATAAGAATATTCCTCTGTGTAATGCTTCGGTTCAATGTACAACAGAAGCCTCAAACTCGTTTCCTCATCGTTTCCAGAAGACATTCCATTTTGGACGAGAGGTCAAGGGAGACAACTCAGTGTCCCTTCTGTGCCTCCTTAGCAGCAAGGATGAGTGGGACTAAGCTGGCTAAAGGCTTAGCTAATCGCAGGAACGGATGCTGAAAGAGACATGACAGAGATTAATTAGTTTTAGTAAAAATTTACAATTAGGCATTGATGTGTCTTGAATAATGAGTCACAAATCAATTACTGATGTTCACTATTCACAAGTTGAGAAAGGAGGAAAAGGGCCCTACATGGCCTTTTAAAGATTGAAATTTTTACAGTTATATAACACCTGTTCAAAGGGCTGAAAAACTGTACTTTGTTCACAGATTGTCATCCTTAAAACACAGGACCACATATTCCATACATGGTGTTACTGTCTAAACTATGTTTGCCCTGAGTGTGTGAGTATAGTTTTATGTCACTTTAACACTATTCCAGCAATATCATGGTGGGGAAACCAGAAATGTGCTTCACACACTGTACTCATGAGGGGAATCGAACCTGGGTCTTCGGCGATACGAGTGAACGGTTTAACCACTAGGCTACCCGACCGCCCCTGTTGGTCTGAGTTAAACAAGGCCATTGTTTCCTAATACCTTCAGTAGTTCTGAAGCCGATGCTCTCTTCTCCACATCCACCTCCAGACATTTGTCCAGGAAGTCCTGGAAGACTGGAGACAGCTTCTGCTTCTCCTTGATCTCTGGTTTACCGTTTGTTGCGATCAGGTACAGAGCCTAATGACAGGTAAAAAGGAGCTGATCGTGAACAAAACTATGTCCCTGTTTCTTTGTTGTTTAACAAAAGATGCAGCAATATGAGTGAGTGAGTTTAGTTATACGCCGCACTCAGCAATATTCCAGCTATATGGTGGCGGTCTGGAAATAATCGAGTCTGGACCAGACAATCCAGTGATCAACAGCAAGAACATCCATCTGCGCAATTGGGAACCGATATATATGCAACCAAGTCAGCGAGCCTGACCACCCGATCCCGTTAGTCACCTCTTACGACAAGCATCGGTTAGTGAAGGTTCATTCTAACCCTGACCTTCACGGGCGGCAGCAATATGAAAGCTATATAATGACATAACTTCTTTAAGTTGCATTTAGAAGCTGGAATGATGAAGAGGAACAAATGTTATGGATGAACATCTTTATTGCAATAGATGCTAACTGTGATAATATCCACCATGTTCGTCAAATCATTATTGTATCTATTGCAATAAAGAAACTGTCAATTCATAAAATCTGTTTCTCTTTATATGACAACAGTCAGTACATAATCAAGTCTGAACTAGACATTTCAGTGACTGACATCATGAGCAGTAATCTATGCAATTGGGATTGTATGACATGCTTAAAGAATGTCAGTTAGCTTGATAGTCTACCTTTACGATAAGCATGAGTTGCTTAAGACCATCCTAGAACTTCAACAGGTTCAACATCCGGTGGCCTCACTCCCAAACATGCTCTCACACTAACTACTAGTAAAGGTACACTGTGTTACACTGACTGACTGAGTTTGGTTTTACGCCGCTTTTAGCAATAGTCCAGCAACATCACACCAGAAATGGGCTTCACACATTGTACCCATGTGGGGAATCGAACCTGGGTCTTCGGCGTGACGAGCCAACGCTTTAACCATTAGGCTACCCCACCGCTCCACACTGTGTTACAGGTTGAATGAATGCGTGGGTTTAACACCATTGCCACAGTATTTCAGGTATGTCATGTTATGTTAGCTTGATGTGAGGGGAAAACCTGAAGTGATGCAGATCTTCGACATTTACGTTTGGTGAGACTCATGGACATAAATGTGGAAAGGACAAATACAAATGGATTGTCACCTGAAGATCATATGATTTTGAAGCTAAGGAACACAATATTTTTTTTCTTAAATGGATGAAAAAATTTGTAACAATGTAATTTTGCTTCACAACATCCCTACAGAGCAAATTCCATCATACAACTGAGTAACCCAAGAGGAAAGTATGTTTGCCATCCCGTACAGGTTATGTCAATGGACTTACCCTGAGAGGGTTTTCATTCAGGTAGGGAGGTTCTCCCTCAATCATCTCAATAGCCATGATGCCCAAACTCCAGATGTCAACCTTAGGCCCATACTGCTTCCTGAAATACACGTACACTTCATGTGAGAAAATAACACAAAACCATCATGCACTCAGACAAGAAAATATACTAGCAGTTTGACAACTAATTTTAGGTACAAATCTCAAACAGTGAAAAACTGAAACATGAATAAATAAAATGAATACACAATCCTGTCAGGTGGAATGACGGGACAAATATCAGCCTATATCCATGCTGTCATGCTGTCCTACCTGATGCAACATACCCTTGGCTAAGCATGTGAACAGTGCTCACTATATTCCATACGCCATACTTTTGTTTGATGTTTAACACTCAGAAACAGTCATGCCACATCAAAGTGGTTTGAACATATCCAAGTCTGGCTAGACAAACCAGAGGTTGATATAATGAGCAACAACAGTCAGGTCATTGAACCTGATCACCTGACTGATTGTCTCCCCTTGCAAGAGAGTGCTTGGAACCAATCCTCATGCTGACAGAAGGACAAGGAGACTAGAAGGAAAAGTACTTTCAGAAGGCTTATTGGTTAGTTATATTTCCATGGTGAAGTACCTGGTGACGACCTCGGGGGCCATCCAGTAGGGGGTGCCCACCATAGTGGACCGCTTGCTTTGTTCCGGAGACAGCTGAGCACAGAAACCAAAGTCAGCTGAAATACAAAACAATCTCAGATATCAACGGGTTCCTTTGTTTCATAGAAACTTCAAGCTATTAATCATGAAAAATATAGCCACAGGGCACTGTACTCTATCTGAATCATGACAACATAGTTCACAGTTAGACTGGAAATCTCCTCTCAGATTTTACAAACAACAAAATCCAGGATCATTATAAGCAAACATAACTTCCACCCAGTCGTTCTCCGACACTAATGACACTCAGAAAGGGGTAATAATACTCTTGCCACCATGGAGGCCAGGTTTAATGTCTGATGTGAGCATATTTTGAAGACCTCCTAGCTGGGATCATTTCAGCTTCAGAAGAGGCATTAAAATGCATCTGAATACTCAACAAGACGTGATCAGGGCATTCTTGAAACTGAGTTCGACAAGCCATTTTATCCTTGTCTGTGACCTATGTCAGAGTAGAAACTGTACACACTCCCTCCTATGTATAAAGAAGGAACAGAGTAAATATCGGGCATGAGTAAGTTCAAGTTCAGCCCACAGACTGACAGTGACTGTGAAACTAGGGGAGATGTACGTACTGAGTTTGACACTGCCATCCATGCCGAGGAGGATGTTGTCGGACTTGATGTCTCGGTGGATCACCTGGTTCTCATGCAGGAACTCCAGGGCTTGCAGACACTGGGGGAAAAACACCAAGTAGGCATTGTCGTGTTACGTGCATAGTGAGTAAGTGACTTTCAGCATTACAGCAATCATACAGGACTACAGTGAATGTTCTGGTTGAAGTTAAGAGATGCTACGCTAAAAGAAGTACCCGGTATAATGTTTCTGATCTTTTGGTGTGACCTGAATATGTCACTTCATGGTTTGTGTATCAGCCCAGCCTGACATCAGTGAAGCCAGCAGTTATCCCCTACAGTGACACTTGACAGCCAATACATCTCCAATGTGACCATCACTATGACAACTCACCTCTCGGCATACTGCAGCAATCTGACCCTCATCCATGCATGTTTCCGTGACGACATCTGTTAGTGAACCTCCAGCTAAGAACTCCATAACAACCTGAAATGTGTTAACCACAGTGAGTGGTGTGTGAGAAAGACAAATGCCAGCAATCGAGAGCAACAAACATGAACAATATGTCTGACGATCATCATGTTTGTTAGTTGTCTAATCCACACTCAACAATATTCCAACCACCCAACATGTCCAGCTAACAGGCTACTTTTGTCAGTAAAAACAGAGGATATTGTATTTTTCAGGATTTTTGATGATTAGGTCGCTTTCCGACATAATGATTATTTTACACACAGGATTTTTTAGAACAGGTAGTCTATAATATACATATCCAGGAATGCCATTAAATGGTCAGCTCCTATAGGCCGGAGACTGACTCCGTGACCAGCAGTATGGCTGTATTTACCCAGAGTTCCTCCCCGACCAGGTAGCTGTCGAGGTAGTTGACGATGTTGGGGTTCTGGTGCTCCCGCATCACCAGTATCTCATTGATGATCAGTTCCTTCTTGGGCTGCTGAGACAGGTTCATGGTCTTGATGGCCACCTCACGCCCCGTCGCCACCTCGATGGCAATGTATACTGTGCCGGACGCTCTGGAATTAACACAATACATTTAGCTCTATGGATAGGTGACAGGAACATATCATATAAGCTTGAAAATCATATCAGGCATGACTACAATTTGGCATTTACATAATACCCTATCCTGCCTGGTACCGATTTACTGCTGGATGAGTGAGTGAGTGAGTGAGTGAAGGCATGACTACAATTTGGCATTTACATAAAACCCTATCCTGCCTGGTACCGATTTACTGCTGGATGAGTTAGTGAGTGAGTTTAGTTCTACGCTGCTTTTAGCAATATTCCAGCAATATCATGGCAGGGTACACCAGAAATGGGCTTCACACATTGTACCCATGTGGGGAATTGAACCCAGACTTCCATCGTGATGAGCGAACATTTAAACCATTAGGCTACCCCACCACCCCATGCTGCTGGACGAAGATAGATATAAAGGGGCAACATTCTATTATCACTTGCCTCTGACTATGATGCATGTTTGATGAACTGTCGGTAGAGGGTTAAGCTTACATCTTCTCAAAAACAGCTTTATTTGCCCTGACTTTTTTCTACACAGGTACCCCACCCCCTATTACCCCACTTTACTTTACCGTTTTGTTAATTCCTGACATCAAATTTGTAAGAAATGGCAATATATTCTTCAGCTCCAAGGCTAAAATTGGGTGTAATGTCTTATGAGACATCGCTTTTACAAGAGTTTGAAAAGTGGTCAAAGTGTCATGGTGACCTTGAAGATAAGGTCAAGGTCACCCAAATCGACTGCAGTGAAGCATGTCTGCATAATCCTCCAATGTAGGCTGTCACAGGGACAAATTTGAAGATATTTTTGGTATGGTACAACAGTGCATGACGATACCGCATTAATAAGAGTTGACAAGTGGTCCAGGTGACATGGTGACCTTGAAAATGAGGTCAAGGTGATTAAAATCGACTGGCGACTGTGTAATTCCCCATTGTAGGCTGTCAACAAATTTGAAGACATTGGGTACAACAGTTCATGAGATATCGCATTAACAAGAATCGGGACATATGTACGGACGCTGCTGAATACATAGTCTCCTGGTTCTGCATTGCGACAGGGGACAATAATGGCATAGACAACTTGGAGAAGACATGTGGAGGAGAGGTGTGGAGGAAATGTGTGCAGATACATGGAGGAATACAAGGAGATGGTTGGAGGAGGCACAAGAAGTTTAGGATTTGTGGAGGAGAGGTGTGGAGGAGATGTATACATCCTGCATTGTCACCTACCCCTGGCCAATCTTCTCCATCTTGGTGTATTTCCTATTGGGATCTCCTAGTGAAACAATTGTACGTAGCTTCTCCATGATCTCTTCATCTGTCATCTTCTTCTTTTTTGGTTTTTCAGTTTTGTTGTCTGAGTTCTTTTCATTTGGATGTTCATCTTCTACTGGTTTTGTGTACTGAAACGCAGACATATCATCATAGTTACATTCAAATATATTTACACATTATGTAGATGTTCATCTTCTACTGGTTTTGTGTACTGAAACACAGACATATCATCATAGTTACATTCAAATATATTTACACATTATGTAGATGTTCAAGATGTTTTCTCCAAGTTATTTAGTCACTCCCAAACAGGCATTCTACAAGTTGTAGGCATGAAGTAGGGAAGTCATTTGATATTTTAATGTCAATGATGGGCAGATTTTTAATGTCAATACTGCACTGATACAATTTTATGAATATAATATTGACACAAATTTGTGAATATAAACACTTATTTGGTAATTCACTTTCACAGAAATGTTTTCATATATATGAAAATTATTATGAATGAGAGACATTTCAAGTCAAGCTTTGTAGAGTGTGCCAGATGAAGATGAAGATCGATAGGCCAAAAGCATGAGATAACACACATTTCTTTAGTTATCTGAGTTCCCTCAGTTAGTAGTCATGTTATCTCAGATTCAGATTACTGTTTTCAGGGCTACCTAGTTTTCCCATTCTAATGCAATAAATGGTTAACTTCCTTGTATGCCCTTTAGATGGCTGTATGATGAACATGGGAGGTAACTCTATGACAAACAACTATTTTATTAAACAGAATGCTTTGTTTCAGTGTATGAGACTCACTAGTGACCTGGTTGTGTCAAGGACCTGGGTATTTACAATAACAGAACACTGATACAATACACTGGGTAACGGATCAGTATGAGACTCACTAGTGACCTGGTTGTGTCAAAGACCTGAATATTTACAATAACAGAACACTGATACAATACACTGGGTAACGGATAAGTACGCGACTCACTACTGACCTGGTTGTGTCAAGGACCTGGGTATTTACAATAACAGTACATACATACAATAAACTGGGTAACGAATCAGTCTACGAGACTCACTACTGACCTGGTTGTGTCAAGGACCTGGGTATTTACAATAACAGAACACTGATACAATGAATTGAGTAACGGATCAGCGAGGGACTCAGGTAATATTTTAGGCATCAGTGCTAGACTCACTATTGACTTGGTCTTGTCGGGTCGGGCAGCTATGGGCGGCGGGGGCTCCTCCTCTTCCTCCTCACTGGGGTTGGGGGTCGTCGAATTCTGCTCCTTCGACTGAAACGTATCCTACAAGAACTCAGTCAACAGTCCTCAAGAGAAACCTATTGACGCTACTAATTTGCTGGATTAGGACACAAGACATTGTCTGAAGAAGTATGATGAAGGCTCTGGAAACTTGTTTCCATTGGTCTAAAATAAAATATATTAAGTCTACTAAACAATTTCACTTTCAACCCTTAATTTTGAAAACAATTATAAAAATCTTCCAAACAAACACAACCAGACTGTTGGAGACCTATGAGCTTTGTCACTCACTAGACAAACTGTTACATGCTACTCATAAAGAAAAGTTAAGGATCATCCGGTTGTTTCATGTATTTACAGTATACCTGCCATGCCATGACAAATTAGGTTAAAAATATCAATAGGAAAGAATTGCTGATCCTTAGTTACTTTGAGTAGTATACTTCAGAGTAGTATCCTGTTACAGCATCCAGATGTCCACTGGTATGAACCAAGAGGTCGATCATACATAAAACAAAGATTAATACATACCTGTGTGAGCACTACTGGAGATGAGAGTTTATCAGACAGGTTTGACTTTGTGGAAGCGCTACCTGAAACAAGGGGAGGCAACTGTAACCTGGACTTGGTTACACACTAACCAGAATAGATGTGTCGCTTCTGATAGGCGTGAGTGAGTATGGTTTAACATTATTTTTAGCATCACATCAGCTACATCATTGTTTGGGACACCGAACAGGCTTTACAAATGGACCAGTGTAGGGAATATAGCCCAGGCCTTCAGAATGACGTGTGAACTGTTTAAACACAAGGCTACATATCTGCTAGGTGTGAATACACAGTGACCTGACTTCCTGAGCACGTGGAGAGTGAGTGACTTCCATGTAAGGCTGCTGACTGTATTTGGTTTGATGAGTCAGAACGCACTACAGTGATGCAGCACAGGTACGTAGAGATAAACCAAGGATCACAATCAGGATGAATTTTGGATTTAAACTACCAAACCTGGATCCTGACACACCTAAGGGACACAACTCAGTAAATTCTGATACTTTGGATAATTGAGGTATCCACATATGACATCTTTAGATGGTGACATACTGCACAAGCTGACACAACCTCCGACTGCTACAGGCATGTTGCCTGAGATGAAAGCTCCACTTGTACCCAACCTATTCATTACACCATACATGTGTGAAGGTCCCCAGACTGAGTAATTCCAGTTGTCTCATTATCAAATGGTTGTCTTCAGGCAGCAGACCAAACACATGAAAGTATATAAACAGGAATTGGTCTAAATCAGTTCCATTCCCGAAAAGACATACTCTCACCAAAAGTTGAAATGACAAAAAAAATCCACATTTTCCGCACCTGAAGAATTGACCAGTCCTGAGTGGGAATGTTATTTACTGCAGTAACATAAACAAAGTTATCCATGGTACAGACAGACACTCTGTAGATGGTTCTCATGACTGGGGACACTGGGTGGAGTTTTTTATACTCAGGATGAAATTCTAAATTTTAATGTCCCGATAGACTCACTTGCTGGTTTCAGGTTGAGCATGTATTTAGACTCCTTCACATCCTTGGATGTCTCGTAGTAGTTGAGCACGTCCAGCACAGCCTGCGGGTTCCGCTTCTGCTCCATCTTGGAGATGTTGGAGTTCTGCAGCAGGCGCGCCCATGACTCCGGCATCCCCTGAAACATCATCATCATTATCAGTGATGTTTGTTGAAGAATATATATAATGTATCCCAGATAAATAGTTTAGAAACTCCAATGATGGTTGCATAGGAAGGTCTTTGAGTTGTTGTTACACACGTTTACTATTTGTAAGAGTATTCTATAGATATTATATTCTGAGAAAAGAGAGGCCAAACAATATCTTTGGACAAGAGAACCTTTTTTATACAGCATATTTGGCAAACATTTTTTATTATCAAAACAGATCATTTTTGTCCACTATCTTTTGGAAAATATCAGAAACCAAGGTTCCCTCAAGACATGAACATGGGGGTCCTAAAGGAAGTGAACACATCATCAGTAAAGGACGTAAGGTGTAGGTGAGATGGATCCTCTGTTGAGAGACATCAGTAAAGGACGTAAGGTGTAGGTGAGATGGGTCCTCTGTTGATCCTCTGGATCCTCTGTTGAGAGACATCAGTAAAGGACGAAGGTGTAGGTGAGATGGGTCCTCTGTTGAGAGGTGTAGGTGAGATGGGTCCTCTGTTGAGAGTGCAAGTGACAACCTGTGGCCAATCAAATCCAAGTCTTTGGAAACTAAAGCATTTGAAAGATAACACTTGATGTTTTTCACAAATTCAGCTAGGGGAAGGTCAAGGACGCTGATGACGGTAATATCGAACGGCCACCCTATCCATGAAGTCTGATGTCACTTACCGTGAACTCTCCAGTGTGAGGGTCAAAGCCCACATGAACTGTGTGCTCAAAATTGGAAGGGGCTGATATGACTGGCTTTTCATTTTCTTTCTGCTTTGCAATTTTGTTCCCTGAAATTAAAATATGTATGATTAATTGTTGCACTGCAAATGGAGTCACTAAGTATATTTGTTCACACACAAAAACAGACACACTACCTTCAATGCAATACATAATACACACTGGGCTATATTGTGATTTATGACAATATCTGAAATATACCTGTTGGTTACTCAATGAAACAACAACCCTACCCCGTCCTACACCAACTGTGTACTGTTTACAAACTTGTAGTACAGGGTGTCATTCTACAAAGCAATACAGCACTATGAGGAGTGGTGAGGTGAAAGTGGGTTTAACGTCTTGCTTGAGAATATTTCGCTCATATGACGACGTGCATGCATGTGTATGTGTATGTGCAGCTGCTTGTACTAGCCCAGACTTAAGCTGGTTTTATAGTGCTAGCCCACTGAGATACCATGCCGCAGTGAAGCATGAATATCCCACTCAGACACATTATACTGACTCCGAGCCAACCAGTCCTTGTTGTACCCATTAATGCCGAGCGCCAGGCAGGGACCAACACGTACCATATTTTAACGTCTTTTGGTATGACGCGGTCGGGGATCGAACCCGCGACCTTCCGCTCTAACCACTACACCACGGAGGTGGTCACTCAGGAAGGGATGGAAATGTACTCATGAGTGGTTATTACCAGTGATGAGTGAAGCGACTCTCATGAGAGATACTTTTCAACTCCTAGCATGTGTATTCTACTTCTGGGTCCCGATCAACAAATTGTTTGTAGCACTATGACAATCGTAAGAGTAACGACAGGTCGTAACGTTACGAACGCCTTGTGGATCGGGACCCTGGTGCATCAGGATACGTATCATATCATAGTTGTCGTATCATTCCACCCTATTTGATCAGCATATCACTAATGACTGTTTTGAAGGACAACATCTCCATCGGAGAGCTGTTATTCAGTATTAACCACAGCAATCTGGGAATAATCTAGCCGAAACTTATACCGATTCCTTCACTGTACTACAGTCACACATCAATGTGTAGAACTTGGATGTGTAAAAATTATGGTTGTCTCCAAGTAAAAGCTTGGCCTCCTTATTCAGTAATCATTTGTTGTTTCGAACATCGGATTACTCAATTCAATTCTCTTTCTTTATTCCAATACTCAATGAGGCCACAGATCTTTAGTACAAAGTCAGCAGCAATATTGGCATACAATTACGATGTTTGCAGACGTTGTTTTCTATGTACAAAAGCATGGTGGATGTACATACCAAGTTTGCGAACTGAAGTTGTATCGGATTATTCATACAATCTATGTACCGGTAGGTCCCTTCAACTTCGACAAAGCAGTGTTTGTAGCTAATTTGCCATGGTACAGCTAATTATATTAATATGAAAGAATTGGGTGGTCCTTTGGGTAGAATATTATATTAGAATGTTGTGAACACTACTTAGTGAGTGAGTTAAAATTTAAAGTCACATTGGCAATATTTCAGCCATATCGTGACAATGAAAGCTGTATACCATAAAACAAACTTAGACGATATATATGCACAAAGGATTGTGGGCATTAACTTTATATCATGAGTGAAAGATCTTAACACAACAGATGAAGATACAATACACCAAGCAAATCATGGATGTTTTTGAGTGGCATTTAGAAGCTGGTGTGATCAACAGGAACGACTGTTAATGGACAGACAATTTCTATATTGCAATGAATGCGACGTTTCACCGTTATCAAGCAATTGTTACTTGTTGCATCTACACTGAAACGTCATATCTCTTGCAATATTGTCTATCCATAAAAAGTGGTTCCTGTTAATCAAGGATGACTACGCAACAGGCCAGATTGTGGCTGTTGCACAGGGTGATATTTCATCCCTGCGTGGTGCTCAGTTGATATGACAAATACCATGACTGCAAAGACCAGTGACTGTCTAACTAATTGAACAGTGTAACAGGATATAACCTGACTTCTCCCTTGTGTCATGGAGCTCTGGCGATGGTCACACACACTTCCTTCTAGATGTGTTTACACGTAACCTAAAACATCATCACATCAACCGTACCCTGCATGAATTTCTACCATACCAAATACAAACAGAATGGACCAGAATCACTTACCAATAAGTACTCGCACCAAAGACTTTTGTAATCGTAATCATCAAACCAGATGACTGAAATTACTCCACGGTATTGTATAAAGTTACCACTTCCTAATTACCGGAAATAAACATGCCACCATACATTTTAACAATGGTACATTTTGCTGCAACAATACATTTCTTGTATAGTCGGAATAAGAAATACTCAAGCATAATGAAGATAACATCTTTACCAAAAATGTTCACGGAATATTTGATTCCCAGATTCTGACTGTTCAACCTTACCACTTCTTCGCTTCAGGGTTGCTGTGAACTGCCTAACGTTTCCTAACATAATGGCTGACTATGAGAGCTGGGTGGTCATGTGGACTGTCTGGTGGTCATGGTGACTAGTGTTCCATGTGACTGCTGCAACTCCATCCCTGACCTGTGCCACACTAACAGTGGGCTCGGATTACTCCCAGTTACATACCGTACTTACTCTAATATGTACACCTGCAGCAGTGTGCTGGTTATTACGTCTCACATACAGTACATACCCTAATATACATCCTTCTTGTGATAATTTTCTCCTTTTAACATACAGTGGTGACCCTGCGTACACCCTTCTTCTGACAATTGTTTTATCCACTTACATACCGTTACTCTAATATGTTCACTGTGGACCTTCTGTGGTGTAGTGGTTAGAAGCTCCGAAAGCAAGGTCAGCGGTTTCGATCCCGACCTATACCAAAAGACGTTATGGAACTTGTTGGTACCTGCCTGGCTGGTTACTGGGTACCACTGGTTGGCTCGAGTCAGTATAATGTGTCTGAGTGGGGTATTCATGCTTCACTTATCTCAGTGGGCTAGCACTATAAAACCAGCTTCAGTCTGGGCTAGTACAAGTTGTTTCCTTCTCATATGAGCTGAAATATTCTCAAGCCTGAATAAACCCCATTTCACATCACCTTGTGACTGTGAGCTGGTTATTACCACTTGGGTACAGTACTTACCCTAATATACACGCTTCTTGTGACAGTTGTTTTACACACATAAATATAGTACTAACCCGAATATACACCCTTCTTGCAACTGTTTTACATACAGCACCTACCCTAATATACACCCTTCTTGTACGAGTTATTTCTCCCACTTACATACAGTACTCACCCTAATATACACCCTTCTTGTGACAGTTGTTTTATACACTTCAATACAGTACTCAACCTAATATCCGTGCTTCTTGTGACAGATTTTTCCTTCTTATATACAGTACTCACCCTAATCTATAGTGACAGTTGTTTTCTCCCACTGACGTTGACTAATTACTCAAATCTATACCCTTTTAGTGACCCGAATACACAGTGCCATCTAGAAGGTGGCCATATGTAACATCATGATGTATTTGGGATCAGTAAAGTACAGATTCTAGTACTTTTGATGGGTTGAGACCCATTTGGGATTCCAACCCACACTTTCAGAGGTGATAAGGTGCAAGATTCAGAGAGTCTGGATGGGACTCCACCTAACAAACACAAGAATCTGTACTCTACTGACAAAAGTGTAATCCCAAATATAACTTATGTTACTTAAGTGACAGTCACAGTTGTTTTCTACCACTTACATACCTAATGTAACCTATTATGACTCTTATTTTTCTCTACTTATATACAGTATTTCCTCTAATATACACCCGTGTTGTGGCAGTGAGCTGGTAATCAGAGCTCCAGATAAGCTTTTGGCCATGTGGGTATGATACCCATACTTTTGAAACTAAGTCGGTATTTCTAATTTCAAGTGGGTATCTATACTTTTAGATACCAACCATCTTTTTAAAATCTGGGTATTCATTTCAAATACGAATAACAGGTGCGACATTTTTTTATTCAATAATAAATATGACAAACTTCTCCAAACAATGCTAAATTATAGCTAATAGCCAATACAGCTTTATCCGCTTGTGCTGTGAGAAGTAATATGTGCCTTAGTCTAAATCTGTTTTGGTGTAAATCAAGATGGCTATTAGATGATAATAACAGCCATGCCTTCACTCTAACAGATAATTTTTTTCAAAACCTTGTCCCCTTCGTGCTGTTTCACTTCCACGCCTCGAATAGCTAATGTTACAAGTTCATTTAAAACATTACCGGCACTTGATTCTGATTGTGAAACACAGGACTTGCCTATTAATTCATCTAGCGGTCCTCTAATGAAGTTGTTTTCTGTTTGTAAAGCATAAAAAAATTAATATTTTACTTTGAGCGTGTGGAAGCTTTCGACAACACTTGCTCACCATTATCGATTTGTTTACAGAAAGAAAACAACAGCTATTTGATTGGTCGCTATTCATAGATGGGCCAATCAGTGAAGGGTTAACAAACTGCGATTGGTAGTCTATCTTGGTTGCACATTTTAATTGCTTTTAGAATTATTCAAGACTTTTTTAATCACAAATATTTAGAGATGGAAAAACTTTAAGTTCGATTGGTTTGAATGATACGATACGCAACATGATTTTGATGTATTGAATAAATACACATTGTTATTTTGACATAGCGTAAACGTAAATATTTCGTGTTTTTTCATATGCTGGCAATTATTTTTCTTGCGTATTTCAACTTTTCTATAGCGTATTTTACGCAAACACGCAGCTTATCTGAAGCTCTGGGTAATTCCTACTTGTATACAGTATTTCCTCTAATATACACCCTTGTGGCAGTGAGCTGGTTATTCCTACTTGTATACAGTATTTCCTCTAATATACACCCTTGTGGCAGTGAGCTGGTTATTTCAACTTGTATACAGTATTTCCTCTAATATACACCCTTGTGGCAGTGAGCTGGTTATTCCTAACTTGTATACAGTATTTCCTCTAATATACACACCCTTGTGGCAGTGAGCTGGTTATTCCTACTTGTATACAGTATTTCCTCTAATATACACACTTGGTTGTGGCAGTGAGCTGGTTATTCCTACTTGTATACAGTATTTCCTCTAATATACACCCTTGTGGCAGTGAGCTGGTTATTCCTACTTGTATACAGTATTTCCTCTAATATACACCCTTGTGGCAGTGAGCTGGTTATTCCTACTTGTATACAGTATTTCCTCTAATATACACCCTTGTGGCAGTGAGCTGGTTATTCCTACTTGTATACAGTATTTCCTCTAATATACACCCTTGTGGCAGTGAGCTGGTTATTCCTACTTGTATACAGTATTTCCTCTAATATACACCCTTGTGGCAGTGAGCTGGTTATTCCTACTTGTATACAGTATTTCCTCTAATATACACCCTTGTGGCAGTGAGCTGGTTATTCCTACTTGTATACAGTATTTCCTCTAATATACACCCTTGTGGCTGTGAGCTGGTTATTTCAACTTGTATACAGTATTTCCTCTAATATACACCCTTGTGGCAGTGAGCTGGTTATTCCTACTTGTATACAGTATTTCCTCTAATATACACCCTTGTGGCAGTGAGCTGGTTATTTCTACTTGTATACAGTATTTCCTCTAATATACACCCTTGTGGCAGTGAGCTGGTTATTTCAACTTGTATACAGTATTTCCTCTAATATACACCCTTGTGGCAGTGAGCTGGTTATTTCAACTTGTATACAGTATTTCCTCTAATATACACCCTTGTGGCAGTGAGCTGGTTATTCCTACTTGTATACAGTATTTCCTCTAATATACACCCTTGTGGCAGTGAGCTGGTTATTCCTACTTGTATACAGTATTTCCTCTAATATACACCCTTGTGGCAGTGAGCTGGTTATTCCTACTTGTATACAGTATTTCCTCTAATATACACCCTTGTGGCAGTGAGCTGGTTATTCCTACTTGTATACAGTATTTCCTCTAATATACACCCTTGTGGCAGTGAGCTGGTTATTCCTACTTGTATACAGTATTTCCTCTAATATACACCCTTGTGGCAGTGAGCTGGTTATTTCAACTTGTATACAGTATTTCCTCTAATATACACCCTTGTGGCAGTGAGCTGGTTATTCCTACTTGTATACAGTATTTCCTCTAATATACACCCTTGTGGCAGTGAGCTGGTTATTCCTACTTGTATACAGTATTTCCTCTAATATACACCCTTGTGGCAGTGAGCTGGTTATTCCTACTTGTATACAGTATTTCCTCTAATATACACCCTTGTGGCAGTGAGCTGGTTATTCCTACTTGTATACAGTATTTCCTCTAATATACACCCTTGTGGCAGTGAGCTGGTTATTCCTACTTGTATACAGTATTTCTTCTAATATACACCCTTGTGGCAGTGAGCTGGTTATTCCTACTTGTATACAGTATTTCCTCTAATATACACCCTTGTGGCAGTGAGCTGGTTATTCCTACTTGTATACAGTATTTCTTCTAATATACACCTGGGTTGTTGCAGTGAGCTGGTTATTCCTACTTGTATACAGTATTTCCTCTAATATACACCCTTGTGGCAGTGAGCTGGTTATTCCTACTTGTATACAGTATTTCCTCTAATATACACCCTTGTGGCAGTGAGCTGGTTATTCCTACTTGTATACAGTATTTCCTCTAATATACACCCTTGTGGCAGTGAGCTGGTTATTCCTACTTGTATACAGTATTTCCTCTAATATACACCCTTGTGGCAGTGAGCTGGTTATTCCTACTTGTATACAGTATTTCCTCTAATATACACCCTTGTATTGAAAGAGAGTCATCTTCACAGCAAGAGGGTGAGTTAATATTTATCACCACATCAGAATTATTTCAGTCATATAGCTATTCACAGCAAGTGTATTGACGTCAACGACATGTATACATACATCACTGCAGACACATATAACTCTTCTTCCATGGGAGTTTTACATCCTGCAGCGAGATGTATATTTGACTCAGTTCTAGGAAGGAAGTAGCAGCTTATTTAAGTGCCCTTGCTACTCCCCTCACAGCTGGCTGGTCATTAATTAACACACTCCACACTGTGCCACTGCTAGTGTGGTGGGACATACACGATACCATGACACCACGACACCCTGGACTTACTGATACACAGTCTGAAGACACCATGACACCCAGGGACCCACCTAAACACCTTCCTGGAGAGACCATGACACCAGGTAGCCATATTTTCATTTTAATGTGTGTGATTGTGTATCATTCATTGTGTGTCAGACACACGCTGTGGTATATATAACATGACCTATCCAGAACATGGGGACAGCTATATCTACAGTGGCCTTACTATTGACTATAGCTGTGTACGAACGTGTTAGGGGCCTTACTATTGACTTAAGATGTTTGAGAAGGTGTTAGGGGCCTTACTATTGACTTAAGATGTGTGAGAAGGTGTTAGGGGCCTTACTATTGACTTAAGATGTGTGAGAAGGTGTTAGGGTCCTTACTATTGACTTAAGATGTGTGAGAAGGTTAGGGGCCTTACTATTGACTTAAAGAACAAATAAACTTTGTTTTTTTTACTCTTTTAACTATCACATATGAAAGATTTGTGGTTAGTCTTATGCAGAACACCAAATTCATTCTTTAAAAACTTGTGGTTAATTAATACCGAGCGATTAAAAGTTGCCAAAATGTCGCCTGCTTCACTCTCGCCTGCCAACGAAACCACAGACAGGTTACGTTACTCTGTCGCCAGAGCACTGCAGTGACGTCATATGAGGAAGGATTTTCAGTTAGTTGTATAGAAAATGTGTAGCAAGCTCGTCATTTTGATGATTTCTCGACATCAACGAAGACATGCCGAATTGTTGCGTTGTTGTCAATTGCTCCTAAGGGTCGGGCGATGGTGTTACCATGCACAGATTTCCACAGGACCCCGCAGTTTGTGCTAAATGGGTTATGTTTGTGAGTGCAAAGCGAGCGTTGTGGAAGCCTGAAACGATATCTTACTTGTGTTAAGATCACTTCACGGAAGTGAAAGAATCAAAACTACTTACTAGTTGTAGTAAAATATGTATTTGATTGATGACCATAAAGAATTCCCATGACACAACTTGTAACATAACCCTGTTGTATTTTCTTCCTCGAAGCAGGTTGTGGTCGAGTAACAATAATACTGTAAGTAGTATTATATTGACACTCCACCTTGCTTCCACGAGAGAAATTGTTATGTTATAAGCTATGTCATGCAAAATCCTATTGGCCATCAATCAAATACATATATGACTACCAGTAGAAAGTAGTTTTGATTTTGTAACTCGGTGAAAACAAACCTAAATAGCATTTATCCTCAGACTGGCGGGTGTTCGCGACAGGGCGCCGCCATTTTTGAAAATCGAAAAGTCACGGGCTAAAGTCTGTTAGAATTAATGAAATGATGGTTTGTTTTCATCAAGTTAGAAAATCAAAACTGCTTTCTACTCGTAGTTAAATATGTATTTGAATCATGACCAAAAGGATTTCTCCCACGGAAGCGAGGTGGGGGTCATTGTGACAATACTGCGCGATAAATTTCTTTCTACATTCACGTGGTTGACGTCCGCTCACCAGTATGTAGATACTAGTCAATGTACGTCTTTATATTTGGTCTTATAATCCTAATTAGTTTATTATCATACTTGTATGCTTGTATGAAGGTGTTAAGGGCCTTACTATTATCTCCAGCTGTGTAAGAAGGTGTTAGGGGCCTTACTTTAACCTCCAGCTGTGTAAGAAGGTGTTAGGGGCCTTACTATTATCTCCAGTTGTGTAAGAAGGTGTTAGGGGCCTTACTATTATCTCCAGCTGTGTAAGTAGGTGTTAGGGGCCTTACTATAACCTCTAGATGTGTAAGAAAGGTGTTAGGGGGCCTTACTATTATCTCCAGTTGTGTAAGAAGGTGTTAGGGGCCTTACTATTATCTCCAGCTGTGTAAGTAGGTGTTAGGGGCCTTACTTTAACCTCTAGCTGTGTCAGAAAGGTGTGATGTGGGGCCTTACTTCAATCTTAAGCCATGTAAGATAGGGTCATTGGTTCTACATTAACCTCCATCTGTGTAAGACACGATCAGGGGCCTTACCTTTAGGTGTCTTCATCTTTCTCCTCTCCTCCGGCTCCTTAGGGAGCGGCTTGTACTCCTGCGGCATGGAGGACTCTCTGAAACACAACAGGAGTGAGTGAGTGAGTGAGTGAGTGAGTGAGTGAGCTAGCTGTTAAACAATAATGAGAACCACCCCACAATTGGGGTATACTACCTGCAATCAACAATATCGCTCCTGATGAACTATTAATTTTTTTTTACTTCTAATGACAAACAACAGACTGCAGGGTACATACACTACTCAGGTAACTCCTTTGCAAAAGCCACCGTACATCACCCCCCAGAAGTGTGTAATTTACAAGTCGGAACTGTAATTAAATTGATAGGCAGACATGCTGCTAGGTAATTGGTGTGCATCCACAAACATCACTGCATACAGTGTCTGACTGATTCACTCAGGTCACACACTTCTGATGGCTGGTTGAATGGTTCTGAGCAAAAGATGTATGGTACTCCCTGAAGCGGTTATATATGAAGGAAGTACATAGAGGATCTCACCCTAGTGTTGTCCCAGATCCAAGTCGGGCAGATATAAGTTACAGATATCCCAGACCTGCACAGGGTATTTTCACTTTTATCCATGAACCTTAACGTACATTGTATGTGAACTTCGAAAACATGTGGGAGGATCTATTTACCATCCAAAACTATTCATTGTCATTTAATCATGACGTCTTGGTAACTGGTGAAATCAGTCATATGTAAAGTATTTAACTGTAGAGATATCACTTGATATCATCCAAGCAGCATCTATTGAGGAGGCCATGTTTGTATGATAAACTCATCCATGCGTATAGGCTACACTGGGAGAAAACACACAGCCCTGTGTTTCTGTAGGCACCACTGTCACTAGGGGAAACTGGCCTCAAACTGGATACAGTGCTAAATCACATATGAAGGGAAATGGTATCCACTGTCTAAGACTTTTTCTTCCCTTTCAGTGTTCACGAATGGTGTTTCAAAGTAACAGGACATTGGGTCCTGTAAGTTTAAGATGTCTGTCTGACCCATTGAAAATTCACAGGACCCATGGAATAAAATTAAACACACATTTCAGATTTAACATTTCTTATAATTGGCATTGAAATTATTAACAAACATAAGAAAAATTAAGATAAAATAAACAGCAAACAAGTGTCACATGTCACATATAACAACTTCAGTCAAAGTCATTGTGAAATATACAGTCGGACACTAGGGCCGGTGGGTTGTAGACTTCTATCGGACCGTTGGCGAATCTACCGGATTTGTCAGAGGGTCAGACACTATTCGCGAACACTGCCCTTTGCTACTTAGGAAATATGGAGAAACTTTTCTCGTTTTCACATGGACACACTATTCAGACACAGACTCTGAGCTGACCAATCCTTCCTTTACCCTGCTGAAGCCAAGCACCAGTTAGAGAATGACCCTCTATTATGGTATTTAACACGGCCAGGGTATTCCACCACTGACCGGCTGCTCTCTGGGCAGGTGCCCAATCCACTACTCAGTAGAAGCTGTCCACCCTCAACACAAGATCTCACCTTCATAGAGCAGTGCAACATAGTTCACATATTGCAAAGTGCATAGGAACATTTAATGATATGACTTCAGGCGATTACGACCAAAGTTTGTAAACCTACCTCTTTTTGAAAGCCCTAAACAGCATAATTCAGTATGGCAACAATGGTGTAGATCGGGTGTCAGAAACCTAAATGAGTAGCCCTGGTGTCGGAAACCTAAATGAGTAGCCCTGGTGTCAGACACCTAAATGAGTAGCCCTGGTGTCGGAAACCTAAATGAAGTACCAGCAGATCTGGTGTTGGATACCACAATGAAGTATCCCTCGTGTAGGGCAGTTCCATACAGAATGCTAGTCCAGCAAGGCCAACTATGGCTGCTGCTGTCACCATCTGCTCCTTATGTGGGCAGACAAGGAGGACAATTAGAGAAAATAACTCATCATTAACATAATTCCACATTCCTGATGGACAACACTACACTAGTAATAGTAGCAAGTGGGGCATTGACTGGTAACCCGCTGGAACCATAAACCATTCACTGTGTTCAACTGGATTATAATTATATTTCTATCAAATATTATTTAATTATTCAGACATTTACCTAGGCCTCCAAACAGTGCTTTTTCATACAAATAATTTCCACTTTTCTTAAATTTCTTATTTTATCATACCCGTGAAGATCTGGGCTTGAATTGGTCTTCAGTAACCTATGCTTGAAATAAGAGGTGACTAACAGGATCGGGTGGTCAGACTCGCGGACTTGGTTTGTCACATGTCATCGTATCCCAATTGTGTAGATAGATGCTCATACTCATTGCTGTTGATCACTGGATTGTCTGATCCCGATTCGATTATTTACAGGCTGTCGCCATACAGCTGGTATATTGCTGAGTGTGGCTTTCAACAACAAACCAACAAATCTCATTTGATCATATTCAGGGGTCAATATTGTGGAAACTGAGCCTCGTTCTATTGATGAAATCAGCTAATACTGGGATAAAACACCGAGTGCTCTTTCAGACAAACATTTGTTCAAAATTTCCGCTTTCTTAAAGGTCTAAAGGGGTCAATATTGTGAAACTAAACATTAAAGCCTGTTCCTGTTTATGAAGTCAGCTCTCCAAATGCACAACCATAATTATTTCTATGACAGCTAGGACAACATAGTATTACAAGTACACTGTTAGTGTACTGCAATGTGTTTTTCAAACAGTATGTATTGCAATCGTATTTTCTTTTCCCCAGTACATTGGAACTTATTCAAAGTAGCTTTAAACACTATCTCACTACTGTGAAAAATGATTTGCACAGCATGTGAATAATAGTGTTGGGAATTGGTTGGAAGACACAATTGATGATTGCTTCATTAGCAACGCACGATCATCGAAAAAAATTGGTTAGCTTCATTTTTCTGATTTTCCTATCCAGATTGTTATTGTAGATATGTATAACATGATGCAACTTGCTACTTTATGTGATGATAATATATCATGAACATAAACTCAGTCTTCAAGAAATATTCAGTCATGAAATATTTCACTTAGAAGTGCAAGAATAAAACAGGTTTTCAGGCCCTGACAACTCAAGATATGTTCTCACACAAAGACTAAGACAGTAGTAAAAAAATCCTTGTGTTACATACTGTTGACTAAAATGTGGGCAGACAGATCACTGTGATCGACATTGCTTGGTCGCTTGGTCTTCGAACAATTAAATTAATAAACACCACTAGTGAATAATGTCCTGACAATCATGATATGGGTGAAATATACATCCATACTTAACTCACTCACTCACATTACCTCAATAATAGGCAGAAGTATATAAAACATAGATTCAAGCAGCAAAACAATATATAAACATAGATTCAAGCAGCAAAACAATATACCCCTTACCAAACATATTATTTTCAAAATAGATAGCATACATAATTCTTGTCAAAACTACAGTATTTGCCCTAGGCATAAAAATTTAGGAGTCATCATGACTCCCTGGTGTCATGAGAGGGAGTCATGGACATGTTTTTGGGAGTCAACTTCAGTTTGGAACTTTCATCAAGACATCAACTGTGACTGTTTAATAACGACAAAAAACAAGGTAAGGCAGGTCAGGTATTTAATCAGCACTGAGCAGTTAGCTGGCAAACTGACTGACTGAGTTTGGTTTAACACCGCTTTTAGCAATATTCCAGCAACATCACGGCGGGGGACACCAGAATTGGGCTTCACACATTGTGCCCATGTGGGGATTCGAACCCGGGTCTTAGGCGTGTCGAGTAATTGGCAAACACTCAGTTTTAAAAGTTTACATTATCTAAACTAAACGCCCAGTAGCATTGCGTCAACAATGACGCTTCTAAATTCACTGCGTATTTGAGACAATTTGTGCGTCAAATACGGAGGTTTTCTGTGTCATGGCAAACACTGAAACTATATACTCCTTAAATGACACGCTATTTTCTAATAGTTAGTACACATATTCTTCATCAAAACTATATGCTCCTTACCAAACATGTTAATTTCAAAATAGATAGTATTCATCACATCTGGATCGACCTTACCGGCCATGTTTCTTTCTCATCAACACTTTAGCCTGCATCAGGTAGATCAGTCAGTCCCGGCCTAGATGTTCAGTCTACATTCGTCAAGTCCTAACATACTGCTGACGTGATAGGGTGGTGACTGTCTCCTGGAGTTGGGCAGGACCTTCCTCCTCATTAACATAACATTACAGTTACCTGAGATCCATACCTTGTCATGGTTCAAAGCCATCAGTGTCATTACAGGGTACAGTATACTCACATTGATCTAGGGATAATTAGTGTTATAAACGTATAATTCAGGTGTACTTGATGAGCCACGCCCTCGTTATGTGTGACTCACAGTGATATTAGGCTGAGTGAGTGAGTGAGCTTTGCTTAATGCTACATTTCATGAGCTGACTTAGTTAAGATTTGAAACAAATTGCCCTAGGCAGCAGTTTGGGAAAACAATGTTTATTGATATTTTTGAATTTTAGAAGATTTTGGGTTCTAAATTCAGAAGTATTCTGACATTGTATGCAGTGCACTGATATTTTTATTATTTATTACCAGAATTACAAAAACCCTCAAAATAATGTTATAGTTGTTATGAAATGAATTTTTTATTCAAATTTTGGAATAATTCCCATTAGACCTGGAGAAAGTCCTTCATATCTGCACCTTCAAAAGACAATGGCCACGACCAGTACACCTTGACCTTCATACTAACTTATAAAATCCTAAATCCACCAGACAGTCTAGGTAAAACACTGAGTGAAACAAAACTAGTCCACATCCTATTTCAGACAAGGTTTATGTTAATACTAATGCTCGTCTGCGGAAATATTAAACTTTGACATTTAAACTAAAAAGGAGCCCCAGCAAGGTGGGCGATTCACAACTTGAACCGGAGGAAAATCTAGACTTGCTTCATTTAGGGCTTTTCAGCATGGTCAGATGGGAAAATAATATGGTTCAAGGACAGCATGGTGCAATTTTGTTGTTTTCCAGCACCTGCAGCGAGTGCAACCTGGCTTATAGGTTTGGCGGCACCATCAAGATTTTGGTTGCACCCAAAAATAATGTCACCGGTTCTAGAAAGTATCAAATATTTGTTTAGCAATTTTCATAACAAGTGCTCAGTATCATAGACCCGTGAAGGTCTGAATATTGATCTTCAGTAACCCATGCTTGTCGTAAGAGGCGACTAACGGGATCGGGTGGCCAGGCTCGCTGACTTGGTTGACACAAGTCATCGGTTCCAAATTGCATAGATCGATGCTCATGCTGTTGTTCACTGGATTGTCTGGTCCAGACTCGATTATTTACAGACCACCGCCATATAGCTGGAATATTGCTGAGTGTGGCATGAAACTAAACTCACTCACTCATCAGTATCAGATACATTCAACAGAACCTGACCCCATGATCATAAATGACTAATGATTCTGTTTCAATTTTGCCTTACCTTTACTTATAAAGCTCAAATTATATGATAACTTCTACGTAACTGACTTATGAGTACACAAATGTTTATGCTTGTCACAAGTCATGTGGAGAGAAACGTATTACTTCCAGCCACTTACTTCCCAATCAAAACACATGATGACAGCTATAGCACGCTGGAAGATTTATTGTTACCTGCACCGAGTGCAACTTGTTACTGAAGGCAACCTGCACCAGCCATTTTTAACAGTGCAGGTTGTAAATAGCGAAATCCCATCCTGGATGGTGAGACAGAGTAGTTTATGTAAAACAGGTAGTCATTACTGTTGGGAATCGGAAACCAAATCCACTATCGATTATCGGAGAACTTGTGGTAAACGATTATCAATTATAATTGAAATATATATACATTTTTAATGTAATCACCAATTTTAAGGGTTTTTCAACAGTTTTTTTCTAATTAATGTGTTTTATAACTAATACTGTCATACAATGAAATGCACGCATGCAAGAAAGACACTGTAATTGTAAATAAACAATAAAAGTGGATAAAATTTTACAATGCACATAGCTTTGCGCTGTTGAGCGCATGTTTGTTCGTGAATATTCATCAAATTTAATGGTTAGTTTACTTCATTCAAGTGTGTTATACTAAAACAACAAAATTCTGAATAAGCGAAATTATGTTTTTTAATCGATAATTATCTTTAATCCTTCTTTCAATCAATTTTCGATTATTTTCGATCATCGGAAAACCTCTAGTAGTCATTCCAGCTGCGTCTATCAATGCCATCTTGAATCATTTGTATAACTGTAGTGTTACATATCATTGGTAACATGTGTTTCCTCTTGGTACTTACTAAACAGGACGAGTGTTCACCATGGGAGTTCAGAACAGACCAAAGTTTGGAAAAGGTGTCTCATAACCATGGGTTGTTATTACAGGTGCTGCCCACAGTCTCAGCCAAGCACTTCATGCTTGCCAGGCAAAATCTATTTGTACCACTTCTGAAGATAATGGTGGTAACATACTATTATCTGTTCTTACCAGGCAGGGAAACATTTTGTTAGACTCAGGATTTGGAATTGTGGTAAATTTACAAAAGATGTTTCACTGATCTCCCAGGGGCTCTGATGTCCTGAACTCTCTCCACGGTGCTGTGACCAAAGGGAGACTTACCTGGCACTCTCTAGTCTGACGGGCGGGGCTGGGGGCTTGTCTACATCCTCCGACATTGTTTCAGCTAGTTCTGGTGTGCCCTCTCTCCACTACGGGTTACACTGTAGAGACAAAATAAACGTTGCCACTTGGTGTTGAGCCCTTTGTACTGACTATGTTCTACTAGGTGTTACCATGGTTACACTGTAGAGACAAAATATACTTTGCCACTTGGTGTTGAGTCCTTTGTACTGACTATGTTCTATGGTGTTACCATGGTTTCACTGTAGAGACAATATAAATGTTGCCACTTGCTGTTGAGCCCTTTATACTGACTATGTTCTACTAGGTGTTACCATGGTTACACTGTAGCGACAAAATAAACATTGCCACTTGGTGTTGAGCCCTTTGTACTGACTATGTTCTACTAGGTGTTACCATGGTTACACTGTAGAGACAAAATATACTTTGCCACTTGGTGTTGAGACCTTTGTACTGACTATGTTCTATGGTGTTACCATGGTTTCACTTGAGCCACTTGCTGTTGAGCCCTTTATACTGACTATGTTCTACTAGGTGTTACCATGGTTACACTGTAGCGACAAAATAAACATTGCCACATGGTATTGAGCCTTCATGTGCCCTTTCTACTATGTTCTACTAGGTGTTACCATGGTTACACTGTAGCGACAAAATAAACATTGCCACATGGTATTGAGCCTTCATGTGCCCTTTCTACTGGCTATTCATGGTCAACTAGGTGTTACCATGGTTACACAGTTATGACAAAATAAACGTTGCCACTTGGTGTCAAGCCTTGATGTTCCCTTTCTACTGACTGTTCATGTTAACACTTTGGAGACAAATTAAACATTGAAACTTCATGTTCATGACCAGATATGCCCTTTCTATTGTCTACACATGCCCTACTAGGGGTTACCATGGTTACGATGTACAGAAAAACAGACATTTTGTGGCAAGCCTAGATGTTCCCTTTCTAGGGTTTACTTCAATTCTCTTACAAGTTCCCATGGTGATGCTGCAGAGACAAACTAGATGCTAACAACATTCTGTATGTAGAAAATCATCTATATGACAATGTATCAAATACTGAAAGAATAATCAGCATGAGGCGGGCACTCCCTTTTTGCAGTAAAAGCAAGCAATAACTTTGATCATATTCCAGCATCTTGATAGCATCACCATTGATCACTGTCATTAACTCAGGAATAATTCCACAATACCCTCAGGCAGGTAAGTTAGTTGATACTACCATGGAAACAATATTATGGCAGTATCAAATTTCAGATTAATAATATAAATGGAATTATGAATTATTGCAAATTTATGCCATTGTTCGTTGATATATTTGAATCACTATATAACTCAATACTTTCCACATCTATGAATTTATCTAAATTATATTAGTAAGACCATCATATGTTCCCACAAATAAGCATAACGACTCGAAGAAATGGACATGTGGGTATCAGTACTAGTCAGAGTGGCAGTTAGGCCAAATACAAAAAATATTGTGGTTCCGATTACACCTCTTTATAAAATTTAGGTTAGGTAGGTAGGAATTTTTTTAATATTTACATATTTTTTTAGAAGGAAAGTACAAACTAATAACACATGTATCAATGTGTAATTGTTTATTCAATCAAGCTTGCGGCCATCATATTGACGTTCTCTATCAGAATGACCGACATCTGTCGGCGCCGGAAAAACAATGGTATCTGAAAGCTTATTTTATTCAGTCTGCTTAAAAAAAAATTGGGTCGGCACCAGAATACAAGGGTCGGTCGGGCAATCAAACCACATTTTTTTAGGCCTTATAAAATATTTCCCGAAGTGTTTTGGGTTAACTGGACAACCACACTCAAACACCATTGTGTGAAGTTGACTACTTAGAGTTATCCGAGGTTATCAACACAAGTGTGAATTGATGACTAAATAAGGAGTATGCAGCGACCAGGCCTTCACTTGGAGACAGCTGTGTAAGTGCCACACACAAAAGCAACCCCTGAACAGGTGTCCCCTTGTACACAAATCTAACCAGCCAATCAGATGTAACGATCTATTGTCTCACAAACAAGAGCAACACATGCGAGATTTAACGAAATGTCACTTATGTGATAATCAGGAATAATTAATTAAGGCCTCCCCATCTTGCTGATGATTACAGGATAAATGACGTATTGGCCCCAAAACCCTCCTACCAATACATGGGGCAGCCTAGTGGGTAAGGTGTTCGCTTTTCACGTCGAAGGTGGGGGTTTGATTCCACACATTGGTAGAATGCATGAGTCCCTCCCACTCTGATGCTGCTGGAATATTGCTAAACGTGACATAAAATCCAACTCACTCCCACTAATAACTAAAAAACTTTCAACACTGTCATAGGAACTGGCACCTTTAGCTAACACCTCCTTTCTTAGAATGTTTGGGTCTGTTTTGAGTCAGTGAACCAAAGACTATCCTTGTCTCCCACAACAATGACCCAGCTTCCCTGTGCCAGGGAATATTAATGGTGGGTCCCCATCACTTGACATGGCGTAGGTATCAATGACACATGGCTTAAACATGTTGTATGAAATGGCTCTGTTGTCGTCATAGTTTTATGGCTATAATTAGACTAATTACTCCAACTGGAATGTCAGACAGTGATAATTGTTTGTGATTGTTGTATGGATGGTAATTATCCTGTTGTTTTATGTCAGAGTCAACCTGATTCCATTGTCGATACACATGCAGTTGTCCTGCCCACGCACTGAAGGGGCCGGGTCTTCAACATTATTCCTGGATTTTCTTAAAATCCAAAAATCGAACACATTTTTATGTATGGATCATGAAATCATGGAAACAACCCATTTGACTGGACTGGGACTGCATAAGCATACAGTAAATAGTGATTATTTGTATATTAAAGCATGGGAACAACCACTTTGATAAGATTTAAAATTACAGAGGAATGTTTAGGATATAGCGAATATATCAATGTTAAACTTAAAGCATTGGAACAACCCCTTTGATAAGATTTAAGATTACAGAGGAATGTATAGGATATAGCGAATATATCAATGTTAAACTTAAAGCATGAGAACAACCACTTTTACAAGATACGACTCACAGTCTGCACGAGTCCATGTTGAGTAAGTGAAATCTGAATTTAGCAAGCAAAGGTAAGGCTAAAACTTCTGTGAGTCAACAAATGTTATATTACTTCTGTGTACATATGGTGTAGTAACAACAACTTTAATCAAGGTTACACATACTTACTGCTAAAATTTTGCAAGTTATGGGACTCGCAACAACCATAGTACTAAGATAGGAATCTGGTCAATCCATCTTTTTGAACCACCACTAAGTTTCTGAGCATCCATTATTGACAACCATAGCACTAAGACAGATGAAACAGGAATCTGGTCAATCCATCTTTTTGAACCACCACCAAGTTATTGACCATCCATTTATCCATTACTTAAAGAATTGTGTTCTTGGACGTAACACAATTTCCTTGGCTCAGATGTTCCAAATCAATCATCTTTATTATTTAGCAGATGGCCTCCACCATCAATCAAGACTGGTAAAAACGCTTCCAGCATTCTTGTTATTACAATATTAGACGTCCTTCACAACAGTGAATTAAACATTTCTTGTAAATATTTGACAGCAATGCCAAAGCAAGCACGAGATGGTTTCCAGTAGTCTTATTTAACATGAATAATGATCTTGCTTTACTGTGAGTCTTGGCTACCAGCGAAGTTGTTATTTGATAAAACAAGAAAGATGCACAATCAACAAAGTCAGCTTTGTGATTACAAGAATATTACTGAGTGAGTGAGTGAGTGAGTTTGGTTTTACGCTGTTTTTAGCAATATTCCAGCAACATCACGGCAGGGGACACCAGAAAAATGGGCTTCACACATTGTACCCATGTGGGGATTCGAACCCGGGTCTATGGCGTGACGAGCCAACTCTTTAACCACTAGGCTACCCCACCGCCCCAAGTGAGTGAGTGAGTGCTCACTGGAGCTGGTTGGCATGTCCCAAGTTTCAAAGTTGTAAATCACCAGAAGTTCACCCCCAACAAGCTCATCAGGGCATAGCTGGGACTTGAACCTGAGATGAGACAGCCTGGCAAGGGACACAACTCCGCCAGGTGTGCTGCCAGAATACAAGGCAGCTTGTGTCCCTTCATAGAAAGAGAAGGACCATCTTGACCGAATAGGTTTCTTATGCTTTATAGCCCCTTGAATATATTTTTCTGAGACACTTCTTGGCTCCTCTGAACTTATCCCAAACTGTGAGGTCTGTGTACGTCTCCTCGTCAAACGAAACCCAAAATACTTTCCTGACAACTATCTCAAACTCTTTCGTTAAAGTTCTTTGATCGTTGCTACAACTACAAGAGGATGAAGAGGTTAGGAACACTCTCAGAGCATCCTCTCCTGTGATGAGGCTACCTAAAAGAAATCCATCAGACCCCCAAACACTACAGTCTCGCCCTAACATCCCTCCTAACTCCCTGGTTTGTGTGAAGTGTTACAATCAATTACAACATCATGAGGCCCCTCGTCTGCTGACTCAGCACTTGATAATGTAATAGGTTTATCATTGATTTCTACTAAACAGCCCCCGAAACTCAGTGCCAGGGGGCACCTGCACCGGCATGTTGTGTGTACAAAAGCTTGAGAATGTCAGTGAGAGTAATAAGTCAAGACTATCCCTGCCTGTTAGCAGGAGCAGAGCAATGGGCAGTGTGCAGGCTTGCAATCAATACCGTGACATTGTTGTCTGGACAAGGCAGACAATTACTGCATAGAGAGTTTAGGCTTGTTATGGGCTATTTCTTCCATCTTTATCACTATGATCTTTTTGCTGGTTTAAGAATCTGGAATTAATGCAGCCAAGGCAGAGGAACCCATGATGCGATCGTCAGATCTCATGCATAAAAGCGATTGCTGATAATGTGAGTGGTGTTTCACGCTGCACTAAGCAATATTCCAGCTATATGACTTAAGTCTCGATAAATCTAGGGCAGACCAATTCTGTGATTGTTTGTTTGCTGTTAAATGCAGCACTGAGCAATATTCCAGCTATATGACTTAAGTCTCGA